CCTCCCACCTACTGGAACATCCTGGGTCCCTAGCAACAGCAGGACTTGCGCCCTTCCCTTCTCATGCTCCCCACCGGTGAGCGGTATCTGCTGGCATGCTGATGGTTCTCTAGGTGCGGGTTTGGGTACTTTAGTGGGCGCTGTCTCATTCCTGGTGGCTGCAGACTGTGGCCAGGCATCCTGGCCTTGTGAGGTGTCTGCTTGGGGGTTGTGCAGCCCCTGGCCTCGGACCCCTGGGGTCTCATCCGGGTCTGTCTGCTTGTGATGGGCTGACTGAAGCCCCGTGGGGCCTCAGCACTCTGGCATCTGGGATTAGGCCCCTTAGGACTGGGTGCCCTTGGGGTCAGATCCCTCTGGGTTCGGGTCCCCGGTGCTCTCATCTGCCTCTGTGATGGGTGTTCTGTCCTTATATCTGCCCTCCCTTAATTCCTCTGATCTGGACTGCTTTTATTTAAATGGGCTTCTGGTCTCTTCTTCATCGGTCCTTGGCCCTGCAGGCCGAATCTAAGGTCAGCGACACCGGCCATTGGGCATGTTTTCCCTCTGGAGAAGCCTCTTAAACCCTTCATACACAAACATGCTCATGTATGCATACCACAGGCACTTCATTACAAGTGTTCTTGGAAACACACTAATGTTGAATAATATTAACAATACTAAGCTGCAGCTATAGATATACAGTATACAACCCTGAATGATATTGTGGAATCACCAAAGGCTTTGCCTTCGACAAACATCTACTGACTGGGTATGTAAGGGATACCTGGTACTCTGGAAGCTAGTTTGATGTTTACATTTTAGCTGTTGTTTTGTTCTCGGTTTTCCTTCCCTCTAGGCTCATGCAGGTGGGGAAGCAGAATTCTTGGAGTTCCTGTATATATTTGTTTATTTTGGTGTTTTCTTCTCTTTCTTTTCTCTCCTATCTTTTTCTAGTCTGCATCTCTTTCTCTCTGCCCTTAATCCTTATTCCTTTTCCCTTTCTCACCTCACTTTCTGTCTCTGTGTTTGATGTATAAGATTGTCTTCCCTAAATCAGGGAACCAACAGAATCAAGATGATACAGTAAACATCCCAAATATGAGGGAACCAAAAAGACTTATTCAAATGCAATATAGAATAACAAAAGTCCAGAGTGTGTAATCAACCAAAAACTCAAAGAGGTGTGATCTATTACAGAGCTGGTCTCTGAGTTGATTCCAATATTCTTTTTATTCAGATGTTCTCCTGTTTTCACTTTTAGAATCAGCTCTGTTCCATTTTTTGTTCTTTTCTCGGTCATTCTTGAAAGTGTTTGTGCAGTTGCAGAAATGTATCATTATAACTAATAAAACCTAAGCTGAGTATGAATCACACAGACCTCACGCACGGTCGGGTTTCATATATAAGATTGTTTCATATTTGATAAATGCCCTCTGCTGCTTTTATGACCTTTAATCGAAAGTGTCAAAAATAATGTGAATTAAAATACAGATTTGTTTAAAATTGCTTTTTTCTTACTGTAAGTCTAACTGCTGTTAGAATGAGGTTTTTGCGTATTTAGCTTTTTCTTCCTTTTACGTCCTATTATCTTGTTCTTGATTGCAGGAGATTAAGAAACACACAAACACTCCATTGTCAGTTGACCATCAATGCTGCATTGTCAATGACATCAATGATCTGGTTTATCCTGAAATTTGAAGTGCTGTCATAACTCAGTCGAAAGAATTTAAATATGTAAGAAAACTTCCCAGAGGGACCTCTTTGCGAGGGACCTCTTTGCGTGGTTTGATACATAATTTTTTTTCTACTATCAAAACGGGTCTGATGAGTTAATAAGAGGGATTCCAAAGTGTTAATTTTAAGGAAGCAACACCATATTTTATTCATATGCCATCAATTTGGTTATTTGCAACAGAATACCTGTGATGATACTCATCAGTGCTCTGCAGAATTTCCAGTATGTTTGTATGTTTTTACTGTAAAGCCCAGAGGGTTTAGGAAGCAGTTTCCGCCTGAATGGAATTCCAGTGGAACCACTACCACGGCTGTCACTATATATAATTTATTTTTGTATATGCAAATTTTAGGAAATTACACTTTTTATCCTCACCTAAAGTTGTCACAATTATAGGTAAAGAATACTCTACAAGCCCTTTTGAAAACCTAGCAGACACAGATTGTAAATATAAACATCTTTACTATAATTGCAGCAAATTAAGAATAAATGACCTGATACATATTTGATCCTCAATGCTTTCAGTTTGTCAGTATGCCTGGCAGGGATGTTAACTTGGCACAATTCCACAACCGCGGCTGTGTTTTTAACCACGTATATTTAAACATGGTGTTTAGAAGAGGCCGGTTTCCATTCCAAAACTCCTTCTGCTTATGACAGAGCCTTGGATCACATTATCTACTGTGTTTGGAGCAGTTTTGTAAAGCTAACTGCGGAACGTGACTTCTACTGTACCTTTTATAAGCTTTTTTATGCAAGACATACACAAGGTTGTTGGAAAGTTATGAGTCTAGTTTTTGAGGATAGAACCCAAGAGGAGGGTGGAGCAAAACTGTTGTGAGAGACGAAGATGAAGCGCATCCAAACTCATGATAGCAAGTGAAGACAATTCAGCCACAGTATGTTGTTGTGCAAATAATTTTGAAGGATACCCAGGCTTTAAAGGTATCATTTAGACCAGAGGTCTGCAATCTTTAAAATCCAGAGAGTCATTTTTTCCCCAGTCCAGCAAAATCTAATTTAATTATAGCCGAACATGTTTAATGATTTTCCTGAAAAGAGACAACATCATAGTTTAAAAATATTCTCAAGAAATTTCCTTTTTATATTTAAAGTACCACCCTCATATATTTTATTTTGGTTTAAAAATAAAACAAAATTTTATCAGAAGAAAGAAGGATTAAGTTTTTCTTTAGAGAAACATAGGGGAGCACTGATTGTCAGGTAGTCTACTCAACTGGCCTCAATTTCCTTAATTTTAGGCGATCGATGATCCGCTGATACTTAAATGTGAAAACAATCTCAACCACTAACCTATACCCATAAGAAGGTCTGAAAATCAGCCCCTCTTGCTGCGCTACACTTAAATTCCTATTTGAGACATTACTTTAAGTTAATATAACATTTATTTTTTTGATTTTCAAGGTAAGTGATCGTTTTTGTAATTAAATTAGAATAAAATATAGAAGGTGTATTGTGATCTTAAAAAAAAAAAAACACTAATTGTTTCTGTATCTTTTTTGGTTGATATTTTTCTGAGCCACAGTAGAAGGTCCAAAAAGGCACCTTGCGGATCCAGAGCCAGAGGTTGAACCCCCAGTATAGACTATTTCTGGTTTCATTCTCTTGCTAACTTTCAAGCCTCCAAGCTGCTGCTTTTTTTTTTTTTTTTTGCCAAACATGAAATACTAAAAACTGCACTATGTGTTCTGGTAACCCTAAAAACTCCATTATGATTGGCTCAAGTACCAGGAAGCAAACGTGGCTAAACAGTGCATCAGAATAGTTCCACGTCATACTTCAAGTTTTAACAGAAAATAAATAAACATTGCTGGTAGACAGGTACAGGTGTTTAAAGGGAATTTTACTTCCTTTCTGGATGAAAAATGAGAATAATTTAATATTCAAGTTAATAATCAATAAATTCCCTACTTATCACATCTTAAATTGCATCTTCAATGTTTAAATTCCCATAAAACTGAACAAATTTGAGAAAAAAACAATATTCGAGATTTGTTTCCGAACCAATAAGGCCTACTTCATAAGATAAAAAAATAAACATAATATTTGACCAACTTTAATAAAAGATTGGAAGTAGGTGTCACCGTCTTTTGACTGCCATGCGGGGAACCCGGGTTCCAGTGTCAGGAAAGACATCCTGCATAAAACTTTGCTAAGTCTGAGAGTAATTTGATTTGCTGTTGCAACCATTAAATAAAGGAGAAGGCTTAGAAGACAGAGACGCATTTCTCTAATCTGATTCAACTGGATATAAAAGGTTTTAGTATTGCTGCAATCATCACTTGTTGACATTAATATAAAGATAGCAAACTGTGGATAAGTAATGATTGTACTTGCTGAATTAGTTGTTTTGTTAGTTATTTTTTCAAATTTCTGTGTTAGACTAACATTTTTATGTTAGACAAATCTTTGCCTGTAAGTTTTTACAACTTCAATTTTTATCAAATGCTTTTTATTTATTATAGTTTAAATCATCCCTCAAGCCAAACAAACCGAATGCATGCTAATGGTCAATAATGGAAAACCTCTATTCTTATATATTTTTCCAAACTGAAAGATAATTGCAACTCCACGTAAAAACCCTGTCGTATCCAGTATTTAGTTTAGATGTAATGTGAAGCGATTAAGACTGGAGCAAGTTTTTGCTTTTCTCTTAGACTTTTTTAAATTCCTGACACACCCCATAACCATAGACTTCTTTGACATAACAATCTATTCCAGACCTCAATTATGTGAGAGTGGAAAATGGAAATTCTCCTTCAAAGCCTGTATCATTACTGTAAGTAGGCACACTTCTTACTTGTAAAGTTAGAAATACAGCAGCTCAAAAATTTAACAAAATTTTAATTCAACATATAAGAAAAGCTGAGAAAGCACCAAATGTTTATTATTTCATATATATGCGTGCATAGAAAATTAATCTGGCAATATCTTTACCCGTTGTTGAGCTGTTTTGTATAAAATGAAATCATGCATTCCAAAATATGCACTGGATATTCAGCCAAGAACTAACTTTCTACCCAAAATCATTAAAAATGCAAGCAGGAAAACGTCTCATTTTGTGATCTCACTCTAAGGGCTTATGAAAGCCTTTTCAAACTGTTGCTGGAAGTGATTATACACATCAGCTGAGCATTGGGAGGATTTTCTGCAAAATCTACTGCATGAAAAGCAGGCAAATCTTTAAGATTTATCCAGAAAACTAAAAAAAAAAAAAAAAAAAAAAGCCAAATGGCGAGGCTGATGTGTGTGCTGGAAATCATACCTTTCTCTGTAGTAAGAGGAAAGCAAAGTGCGTATCTCATTAGACAAATCTGAAATGGCAGGACCCTTTCCCGGAGAGGAGGGCGTTACTGTAAAGCAAGGGGAAGTAAATATAATAAATCTGATCTATATCAAACTCTACATATGAAAGAAAAATAAATAAATGAAAATAATAACTCAGTGCCAGAAAACACCTGAAGGTGATGATAGATTACACATCAGGAAGTTAAAGAGAGATTCTTTTACGCATTCATTTTTCCACTCACATGTCTTTGAGCTATTGGACACCTGTTAACTACAATCATGCTTTTACGCTGTGTCTCTGGCATGGAGTGTTGCATATCTTTAGATCAGCATGACTGCCGTTTTTTCAGCAGATGTAGAAGATAATACACCCATTCTTGACGACAGTGTCTGGCTTTCATCCCAGGTTTTTATGGGTTGTGTTTTTCATTGTCGGTTATTCTTTCAGACTTGTTTGTCTACTTTACGACTAAGTTTCTACCTGACTTGTTACTGATCAACCCAGAACTTTCGACATTTATTAGTCCAATCTTTGGCATCAAAAGACAGGCACTATTGTTTAAGAAGGCTTTGCAGTTTATTTGATGTATGATTTAAGTCTTCAAAAGCAAACAAGATAAATTTGGGCCTATCATAAAACTTTCAATTAGTAATATCTATTAATTGACAATAAATATAAGCAAATTATTTTTTTTAATTCTGCTTGTCTTCTTGATTTTTGTGGTTATTAAACCTACAGCCATTTTGGCATCCTGATACCTTGTAATTAATTAAAAATATACTTTTGCAGGTATAAAATAGAACATCAATTTAAGAATGCTATGCATAATGTTTTAAAGTAAGAGTATTTTTCTTTTATAACAACTTTCCAAATTTGTGTCTTTTTGGTCTTTTCAACAGCTTGTATTAGGAGCTAAAAAACTACACACTGAATATTAATCCTGAATTGGAAACTAGAAAATCTTGTCATAGTTTTCACCTGATCTTTGGAGTGAGAAATCAATGTAAGGTTAGAAAAGAGACAATTAAATCCAGATGGTATTGAACATACTTGTCAACTGCACAAAACCATGAACTTGAAGTTATTTTAAGTATCACAAAGCAATATTGAGGTGACAAATGATTATAAAAGGTTTAGGAAATAGTTTGTGAAGTAGCATCCAGTGAATAATTTTATATCTTGATGTCAGCGGATTAGGTTTAGACTTAAATAAACTTTATTGTCATTTTGTATGCACAGAGTGTATACAAAACAAAATTTCATTGCATACAGATTTCAACATTGTAATTATATTGCAGTTGGAGTAGATAAGGATTGCAATATAAAGGGCAACAGTGATCAGAATGTAATAATGTAGGAAAAAAAGAAACCATTTTAAATAATGGTGCAAAAGGGCAATTATATGAAAAAGTTCAGTGCAATGCAAAAGTAAATATGGTGCAAAATGCAGTACAAACACTGAGTTGTGTCCTATTTAAAAATGATCATATTATTATTTTCTTTCTCCTTTCTTTAGTTTATAAAAAACTCTGTTAAAAAAAATAAAGGTTTTAAAAAATACAACAAAGAGACTAAGCCAATATCTGCTTCTTTTTACTATTTACATTTCTAATAATACATACTCCACACGTTTCCATATGCATCCTTTGTTGTGAAGCACCAGTATAAAAATATAGAGTTTCTTTGAAAAAAAATTCACATATTTTTACATTTAATTGTTCCCTGTTTTTTGTTAATGAAAGGTTTTATATCTGCTTAAGATATGGAAAATAAGAAAGAGAGTTTATGTATTTTAAGATTATTATATAGCATGTTTTTTTAAGCGGCTGATTGACACAAAGCACACCTGTAGATATATTCAAAGGTAACACCTCAATTACACTGCTTCCTTGTGTGACATCGGAAAAAAAAACAAAGCAATTTTCCCAAGACATCAAAAAAAGAATTGCGAAACTTACCAAGGTGCCACAGTCATCCGTTCAATTTAATTAAATTTTGTTCATTTATATAGCGCCAATTCACATCATCTCAAGGCACTTTTCAATTCAACCAGATCATTCAGTCAAATTGATTCAAGGTTTTCTATCTAAGGAAAACCAGTTGATTGCATCAACTCGTTGACTCAAAGGCAATTCCTCACACAAAGCAACACCATGCCAAGCTATCATCATCCACTTTATTTGTAGAGTGCTTTAAAACAGCTAGCAGCTTAACTTCAAGCATTGAGCATAGCTAAAAATCATAAAAACCAATAAAAGAATAAACTATAGCATAAATATAAAAAATAAGACAATAATAAAAATGTGTTTAAGCTAAATAAACAAGGTCACAACTAAATCCTGCCTGTGTTAAAAGCAACCAAATAAAAGATAGTTTTGAGCCATGTTTTAAAATTTGGAAGTGATGAGCCTCCCTAATGTGCAGCGGGAGGTTATTCCATAAAATAGCAGTGATAAAGACGGCTCTACCCCTCTGAGCTTCCTCTTAAACCTCGGTACCTGCTATTATTCCATTAAGGAAGAGGACTGGTGCTGAATCCCAGATACTTATTGCGACATATTGATCCTTAAGAAAAAAGTAGAGAATATTGTGAAGAAGGTGGAACATTGAGTCCTTGGCCTTCATTGACTTTAAGACAAGAAATTAATATAAGAAATACAAGAAAAAATAATACAAGAAAAAAATTAGAGTTTGCAAACACACTTAAGGAAACCATCTTTAATTGTCATTTTTGCGACCCTAAAATATAAGTAGTGTTTGGCTATGATGATTGTTATTCACTTTCAAAAAAAAATAAAAATAAAAAGAGTGAGGCTTGCAAGCCTGTGAAAACCCTCTCAATCCGTGAAGCACAAAGTTGGTTTAGAACGTATTTGTTGTTGTTTTTTTGCAGCGGGTGGTGCATTTAAAAAAACTAGATGGCATCATGTGGAAAAAAACAAAGCAACAACACAAGACAGGAAGTCAAAGCTTGTGACGACAAGAGGGAAACAAAATAAAATGGGATCATATATTGTAACAAAGAATGTATAAAGTCACAAAAAAGCCATGAGGAAATCTCAGTTTTAAAAAAACATAGCAAAAAGCAACAACCTCAGAATACAATCCCTGAAATCAGGAAGTTAACTTAATTTGTCATCATGAATAGTTTTCACAGAGATGGATGAATGAAAGCATGCAATGCAGACGCCCACAGGATCTTACCCATTTCATGATAAAGCGACCCCTGCTTCACCGTGTTGGTTTTGTTGGGTCTTGGCATTTCAATCCTCATCACTTCATCGCAGCATTGTTTCCACTGGCCTGAAACAACCCAAATAAACAATTGCTAATTTTACAAAAATATCAAAGATTTGTTTCTGATTACTTTTAGCAATTGCTTTTGTTATTTATTTATGCAGAGAAGCCTTTACTCTTCAGTCTGAAAGTCGCGCTGCGGTTGTTTCCCTGTTTTATTTGTTCTGCCTTTAAATCTTGTTTTTTTTTTTTTTTTTTGCTGTTGGATATAAAAGGACATATGGTAGATTTCCTTTAATGTCATTGTGTAAGTAGAGCATACACAACAAGACAAAAAGAGGGTCCACCAACAGTTACCAGGTATGAGGTAAAAGCATATCAAAACTGCAAGACATTTTGCACGGGTTGTGATTCAGTTCTCCTAAGTCCAATATTTTGTTAAACTTTTGGTGGGGAAAAGGAATAAAAAAAAAATTATAATATAAAATTTAGTATAATTTCTTTTGTGGATGAAAAAAAAATACTGTAAAGAACAGCTGGCACTCATAGAGGATGCTGATTATTTTAATTTCACTATTTTAGCAACACAGGTACATTTAAGTCTGGCGACAAAGATTAATGTCCACCTGATTATTATCCTGGAAGAAAACAAGTAATAGGCTGCAAAAGGCCAGAAATTAAAATAGACAATCATCATCTAGTAGGATGGCTTTAGAAGATGATTAGAATGGTGAGATCAGGGGTATCCAACTCTGATCCTTCAGATAAACTGCAGATATACCGCCCTTCGTCTTTTAGGTACGTCTCTGCTCCAACACAGCTGAATCAGATAATTAATCATGGTAAGTGGTCTGTACTCAGATAGCATCCTTTCATGTCGGGGATTCTATAAGCCATATAAGCACATTCCCACACTGATGGAGGTAAGTTACATCGTAACCACGGTTGCCATGGGACTCACCGACAGAAGAAATGCAATAAAGGTAATCTGATTATTATAGAATTCAAACAAATAAACATTATGTATTTCAAATAAATCTTATAATAAGTATACATTTTGAGTAAGTACTACTGTTAATTTCATTTTTATTAATTTCTATTAAGTACATACAGTAAACCTGACAGCTATGTGTTTTTAATAACTAACCTACAGTAAATTAATGAAAATGTATCATGTCAGGTACATTTAATAGGTTTGTGTTTCAATTATATAAAAAGAAAAATGGACAGGAAATTGTTATGAAATTTAATTACATAAATCTAAACATTTTGTGGAAACATTTTGTGACTATATGCTAGTGTCGCCGGATGACTGAGAATCTCTTCAACATGCCAACAAGTCTGGTAGAGGGCTGCTAAAGAACAACATGTTTCACTCAGGTTTGCTGGACCAGGTATGTAAGATCAATGACCTGCAGAACCGTAGTTGTAGTTGGAACAGTAGTTTTTTCTCCCATAATGTTTACATCTGATCACTGCTGCACTTTAAGAAATGGAAATGTCATGAGAGCTGTACAAAACTGAATTTTGCTTTGTATACACTCTGGGCCGGATCTATCAAAGGTTTGCGTGTATAAAAACGTGAGCTATTTCACTGCGCACGCTAAAAAATGTACAAACTGAACAGCGTGCTAAAAGGATTTGGTCTTTAAAACGTGCTAAATAGCGTCTCTTATCCATTTAGTACTTTTTCTGCAATGAATATGCAATATGGGGCGTTTACACGCAAAAGTGCGTCTTGTGGGAGGAGAACATGTAAATATATTAATTTAGCACTCGCAAAGTGATTTATTAAACCTGAAAGCAATTTTGCTAACGGTACCTGACTCTATATTTAACACGTTTCAAAAGAAGGTGCAAATGGTCTGTATGCGTAATTGCGCACACATGGCAGCGGTTATTGTCGCAAGAAGGAGACATCGAAATGAAGCAAGGAGACGCAGAGAACGCATTTTTTCACTCCGTGTGAATATTTTTGCAATGAAGGAGGAAACGATCATGAAAACATATCGTTTATCCAGCATTGCCATTTTGGAGCTGTTGCGGGAACTCCGAATGGATTTGGAGCCAGCCACAAGGAGGACCCACGCAATACCAGATATCACAAAACTCCTTGCAACGTTGCACTTTTTTGCATCTGGGTCATTCCAGCGTACGGTTGCAGCGAGAGCTGGGATCTCCCAATCTCGTTTTTCAAAAGGGCTGTCCGACGGGGTCGGGGTTCTCCCCCTGCGCCTGTGGAGCAACGTGTAATCTCATCCCCAGTCACTTCTTGTGAGCCATTTGGTATGTGCATTTTTCTACAGGCCAATACAAAACACCAGTTTTTTTTTTTTTTTACTGCAGTGAAGTAGAAATTCAGCCACATACCACCTTAGGGAATAAAGGTTGCCAAAGTTTTTTCTTTTTATATATATATATATATATATATATATATATATATATATATATATATATATATATATATATATATATATATATATATATATATATATATATATTATATATATATATTTTTTTTTTTTTTTTTTTTTTGGGGGGGTCACTGTAAGATTTAAATTTCTTAATGCTCTAGTTTGCACAAACTACAAACTACTTTGCCGCAAACCACAAAACGCGCAAAACCATCATTTAAATAGGGCGTCTCCAACAGTTTTGCACCTGCCACCAGTTACGCAATCGCTCTTGTTAAATCACCCGCAAACCATGGTTCAGCCCCTCGCGCAAAATTCCAGTTTGCGAGCGCAAATTACTGCACGCAAAATTGGATCTTGATAAATCCGGCCCTCTGTGTATACAAAATTATAATAAATTTTATCTACGTCTAAAAACTGAATAAGGAGACCCCTGTTAAGAGTACTAATGTGTTGTAAAACAAAATGCCAGAGATTTAACTAGAAATTTAAGGTTAGATTTCACATCCGATGTTTGCAAGCTGCACCCTAAATGCACCAGGGAGCGTTATCATAGATCCTTCCTCCCAGCAGCAGTAAGACTTTATAACCATCACGTTCCCAATAACCTGAAAAATGTTACATTGATGCTGATTTTTACACAGTTTCTGTCTTAGTCACTACATTTGATCACTGCTGCACTTTATGAAGCTGCTGCTGCTCATTCACTGCCTGAAAGCTGTACAAAATGAAATTTCTATTTTGTATACACTGTGTATACAAAATGACAATGAAAAATGTCTAATTCTAAATTTAAACAACATGTTTGTGTGTGTTGCTGCTATTTTTCACATATCCATTACAGTAAAAATGTCCACAACAGTATACTGACTATTTATTCTTCAGGTGCACAGTATTTATATTGGAAAACACTGTACAGTACAGCATTTAACTCTGTCACTTATTCTGCTATTTTTATACACTTTTTAAGGTCTACATTGATGTGACCACTCCTTTGGTGATGTAACAATTGTCCCATTGTGGGACAGTAAATGGATTTTCTATTCTACTCTAAACTCTCTTGATGTGCAAATGCAATAGAAAACTTCTGGAAAGAACAGCAGCTGTAATTCCAGGTAAAAGTGGTTCTACAGTACAAAGCATTTACTGAATAGGAATGATATATATATATATATATATATATATATATATATATATATATTTATATATACATCACTTTTAAAACTATGCAGTGTTTATCACTTTTGTTTTAGTTTTTAACAACATACAAAAAATGTTTTCCCTTTGTTCAGTTCCTATAAATCACTAACCTGCTTTCTGGTTTCTATCAACAGGAAACCAAAAACTCTTTCTAACTCAGCTAATTTTAGCCCTAGGATGTTTCATAGCAGGTAGAAGTAAAGATAAGCAAGATTTATGATTTTTTTTTTTTCTGACAGATTTCTTCTTAATCCTAGTCTTACTCAGGTTATAGGTATGTTGCCGGAGGGCCTTGTTCCAGCGTTGCAAGTCTTCAGTATTCTCGGCGGTAGCTGTATAGGTCACATTCTCTCTTTGAGGCTCCATGCTTACGATAATCTTCAGCCCACGGACAGGATCTTTTTCTGACATACATACTCTGGTATCCTAAGGGGGGGAAGCACATTGATTTAATTTAGATTTCTTAGGAGTTTGCTGTAAAAACATCAATATTAATTTGAGATTTTGCTGAGATGGTTCAGTTGTTTACAATTTCATGAGGAAAAAACCCTACAGGTCTGAATTCCAGTCTGCTAAGGCTGATATCCGCCACTCTTGAACAAATCTCTGAGGCCTTTAGTAGACCACTGCATTCAAACTGAGATAGATTTCATACAGATGCACTTAACTTACTTTTTAAGTGACTTCTGAAGGCAATGATTCCCTCTAAACAGCTCAAATTATAGCTCCAACCTCCTATTTAGCTCCCATTTCTTTCTTAACCTTTCATGGGGTCAACAGGTAGAACACTATCAGAGTAGGAAAAGAACTGCTGTGCTGAATCCAGAGAGCCTTACTAGTTGAATTATATATACAGCCTTCCAAAACAAATATGGGTACATGTTGTATGTGTCACACAGACTAAGAAATAAGGCACTTTTGCTATATTCTGGAGGTGCGCTGTGCCTATAGCTCCTGTCACATAAAGGATTGGGGGCGACCGTGTAGCGCTTAGCGATGGATAGGATCATTAGGGGGTCTCTGTGCGGCCGAACTGGCATTAGGAAGCATAATCATGTCTTACTACCAACACTATTCAGATCATACATATAATGACGACTGTTGACGCATTTCTGCTTTGGTTTACTTTACAGGCATTGTCCTTGGAACTAATCCAAAAGAGCCAGAGGGCTACACCGGATTGTGTTCAGGGGTATCTGGTGAACTTCTGGCCCTGTTTCAAGTTTTTATCGGCCATTAAAAGGTTATATTTTAGTATTTCCCTGTACTTAGCTCATTACTTTTTCAATTTTTCCATCTTCCTCCTCTACACTGTCGTCTGCTGGCCTGCAGGCAGTGCAGAGCAGGATAGAAAGAGATTGAACAAACTGGTGAGGAGGACCACTTTTGTCCTAGGCTGCGCTTGGACTCGATGGAGGAAGTGGCCGAGAGGAGGGTGTTGTCCAATCGTACATCCATGATGGACAACACCTTCCACCCCGCTGCACCAGAATGTAGAGGAGCTGAGCAGCTCCTTTAGTCACAGACTTATCCACCGCCTGTGTGAAAAGGAGTGCTACTGCAGGTCATTCATCTCTGCTGCCAATGACACTGCACTGTAACCTGGTGTAATAACCCTGCAATAACTTTTACTATTTATCTATTTAACAAACTAGAAATCAGACTTCATTGGCCACAAGTTTATTGTACATAAGATTATGTATATATAAGTCACCTTAAATCTCTCCTTTATTTTTTAACATCCACTGCCTATATCTGGATGCACAATATAAACTTCATGCACCTTTTCCTACTTTGCACACCTCCTGTTTGCTTATAAGAGCCGATGTCACAAGTGAATTTCTCCATTGTGAGATCAATAAAGTTCTATTCTATCATATTGTATTTTATTCCATTCTTTTCTATTCACTATCTTTGCATTGAAAACACCTCCCCACAGCATGATGTTGTTCAGTTGTTTTAATTGACCCTTATCGGAACAGGGCAGAGCTTTGCACTATAAAGTTTGTGGGAAACCGCAAATCGAACCTTTTGATGACTTTTTTCCAGGAAGACCAGATTTGTGATATGTGGGTTTAACGGCAGATTCTTTCCCCTGAGCTGTGGCATCTTGGCTGCCTCCTTGATTAATCCTCCACTCATGCGATTTGTGGTTTTAATTGTTTTTCCAGGAAATAACAAACACGTCACATCACGACTGAGTCTTTTACAGTAATGATATCAAGTGACACGCCTAAAGGATTATTCAGGTTAGTAATTTGAGAGGGGTCATATCCTCTTCGAAGAACTCGTTTGGTGGGAATAAAACGTTTTGCGAATACAATGAGCTGTGCAAAAACCCTGAGTTATAACCTTTCGTTTCGTTTACTCAATTTTAAACTATCAATATTTCTGGAAAATTTGACTTTCAGGGAGACCTCCTATTTAAATGTACACTATTTAATGTTACGGGGCTCAAGGAAAATATTTGTTTTACAATAAAAATCTTTCTTCATGTCTAGTTGAAGCTAGTTTCCATAGTTAAGAAAAAAAGGTAAACATACCCTACTTCTTAGAAAAGCTTAGCAAGCAGGTTCTGCCAGTGTTTGAGTGATGAGGAAAACAAACAATTGCCAACACTGAATGTGTAGCCTCTCTTTAATGTAACAGCTTAAAACCATCATATATGTCGAAGCAAATTTTCTCATTAGTGTTTGACGTGTGTAAAAGAATATGTAGGAAAAACCTATGCTTCCTGATAAGGCAGTTTTTACACTAAGGCTAAATCTGGAAAATGGATTTCAAGTTGGATATTAAACATTAATTTCATTAAGCCACAGAATGCAATAGAAATGAAGTATTATAGGGTGTTGTAATATTTTGATATTAAATATTACAGTTTCTTTTAAGAAATCCTCATAATTGATAAAAAATAAAAAAAACACTTAAAAATGTCAGCCAGTGTGAAATTGGCAATCTGTTGTGTTAAACTTGAACTTTGCAGGGTTTTACCTCATGCAACACGTTAATGGAGCGTATTAAAAGACGTTTCCTCTTCACTCTCACTTCCTCATAATCCTTTTTATATTTATGCACAAGAGGAAAATAGTTGGCATTTGCAAATAATGTTCTTTTAAAGTGGAAAAATTTGTCACAAGGAAGAAGATCTGACAAACTGTCAGTATCAGTCCATGTTTTAGCTAGATACGGTTGTCTGCGTTTTTCTGGTTTAAACTGGTCCTTTTGACGTCACAGTTGTCTAAGTTATCCAAAACCGCACAGACTATGTTCTGCACACATTATCAGCGATCAAACTCTGGTTGCATGATGTCCTATTTCAAGTTATTTCTAAGTAACAAATTCACAAAATCACAAAGAGATTCTGTTCATTTCCTGCAGAAAATCATATATATCAAATTGTAAAGATGATGTATTTAATGTCTTAAAAGTTAGCAATAAAAGTTCTTGGAGACACGGTTATCCTTTTATAGAGATATGTCTCTGCAGAAAAAAATGTGTTCGAATGAGCTTCCATATCAGTGTCAAACTGTCGCTATGTGAGTTTGTATTGACAGTTTGTATTCCGGGTGAATTTGGTGTGAAAAACAGGATGAGCTTCATACACACTTGTATTTACGGTGGAGGGCTCTGGGCCTCTTTCTCTTACAAAAGTCACCATAGAGAGTGTCACATTACAGACCAGGAGATCTAAAACTTTTGTTGACTCTATCATTAAACCGAGGTTGGGGCCTCAGGTCTTTTAGCAGGATAATAATCCGAGATACACAATATTGATCAATAAGCAAAGAAAATGGTTCTTTACACACAAGACCTAGCTCTGAGTTTAAAAGAGGACTCATGACATTCTACAATCTCTCTGGAGTATCCAGAAAGCAATGGGAGTGAAGAAATAGGAAATATATCTATATCAACTATTCCCACCAGTAGATAGCTTTAGAGATACCATTGCAAGTTTGAAAAAATGTTGAACAAATTAATTTAGCACTTTATTTCAAGCACTTCATCAGTCATTTTAGGATTTTTTTTTTTTTACCATTATTATCAAAATTAAACATCTTTTACAGTATACCTAAATTTATTTCCCCCTTACCCATAAGGGAAAACCAATAAAAGTTTATAAGATTATTATTTTTCTAAATATCCATAATCCTAAAGTGTAACAGTGATGATATGCTTTAAAAGTACTGATTTGAATTATCCAATAATTCATATTTTTCAAAAATAAAATCAGGCATCTTATAGACCTTTTTACCAATGTCTGCTGAAATGTATTTTTTGACCTCTTAAGACAGAAATAATTTTTCAACATTAATACAAAATCTCAAATGAAAAGTTTTTTTGCATAAGGTAGGACCAGTTACGTTGATAATTATCAACAAACATTTAACAATTGTCAGTGCAATGTATAGATCATATCTAAATACAAGAAGTATTGTTAAACATAAATGCAGATAAAACTTTAAATAATGAATTTAACTAAAAGTCAGGATGTTCCTTTAAAAAGTAATATTAAAATTAACATATTTTTAAGAACATTTGATTGAAAAATTGTAAAAAAAAAAAAAATATATATATATATATATATATATATATATATATATATATATATATATATATATATATATATATATATATATATATATACATATATTAATTCATCAATATTTTTTGATTTTTTTTTTTTTTTATATGGGGATATAAGCGTTTTGACTAAACACCTTATTTGTGGAATGATAGGTGTGTATTTAACCTTGCCCCGAAGTGAAAGGTTGCATATTTCAGACAGTGGCGTGGTAAAAACGTATTGCTACCTGCAGTGACGTTGTGTTAAGGCAAGGCTTTTATGGAATCTTTGGGGATTTTTTTATACCTTCCCTACTCTTCCTTTTGCTTTGAAAAATAAACCTGTATCATCATCAAGTCTTGTTCTGTCAACAGATATGACTATGTTCTGTTTTGACAAGAAGCTATTTTCTGGCTCGGAAAGATAAACACTTCTGTCTTCTGCCACGCTTTTACCTTAGGGAGGTGTTGTCTGTTTTCTTTTTCTTTTTCCATTTTGAAGAGGAACCAGGAAAGCAGTACAATTTTAAACAAGTTCTACTTATACACCACAGAAAAAAGTCACGGGTTAATGATTAAAAATTCATGTAGGGGATAAAATTAAAGCTACATATTCAAAATATGCTTTAGTTTTAGTTATTTTATTGGAAAACTAATAAGACCAGTGCATTCATAAAGAACAAAATGTATTATAAAGAAAAAAAACGATTGTAGATCTGCAAAAGTTTGTTTTTTAACATAAAAACTCACTTTTGAGTTGTTTTCGTTTGTATCTAAAGTTAAATTATTTTATAATCTGATCAATAAGTAAACTCATTTGTTTCTTTTTTTATTTTACTATCAGGTATTTATAATGATTTACAACTGAATAGGAGATTAGTGATATCTCAATGAACAGGAGAGGATTTAAATGAAAAAAAAGTTAACCATCTAGTTTTGTTCAGAGTTTTCTCACTCACCAGTGCACCCTAGTGGCTTTGGCTTGCAATTATAATCAACAGCATCTTATCTAAATTTGCAAATTTAGAACCCACCTTTGTGATCGGAATCACAAGCACGGGTTCATCCTCTGACTCCAGGTCTTCTCGACTTTGATAACAGAGAAGAGTTTGGCCACTGAGAACACAGTAGAAGTTTTCCCAACTGTCTTTGTCCTTCTCAAGCTGAGTGAGAGTTATACAAACACAGTAGAGTTGGTGATGTGTAAATTAATCAAATTCTAACAGAGATGTGATATTGAAAATCTCAGGCAGTAAAATATCAAAAGGTAAGGTCACCTTGACTTCAAGTCGGCCGCTTATCACTGTCTGAATCATACACAGAGGCTGAACAACTAGGCGACAGCACATGTTTCCATATAGAGGCAACCAGAAAGGACTGTCCTCTGAAAAAAGAGGAGAGCAAAAGTAAAACAAAGCCACACATGGTTGAAAACTTCAAATATGAGGAAGAAAAACTGAAGAAGAAATAAGGAAAATCACCCGTTGCTGAAAGGATCAAATCGTGTGTCTTGAAACCCTCTCTGACATGTTCAATGGTGAGTGTTGTGTGAGCCAAGAGGTTATACTTTGGCCCCCTGTACATAAAAAAATGAATTGATCAGTGCTTTTAAAATAGTTTGATTAAAGAAACAAATCCAGGTTTCAAGGAGAAGGAAACGCTCACAGTGACTGAAGTGAAGAAGGTGGGACATGTCCAGACCTTATGTTCCCTCCACCAGAGGAGACGTTACCGCACGCAGCTGCAGACTCAAATGCAGCTCGAATCTTCTTCCCAGAAGAGCATCCCAAGGAGCCTCCCAGGAAGCTCATTCTTCTGGGAGCTGGGGCCGCCCGAGGGAAATCCTCAACCACACAGCTGCTGTACAGCTCAGCTCGAAGCTGGAAACTAGGACCCACCTCGTTGCTGCAGATAAGAATGACTTTAAAAGCTCTTTTCGTTCCTTTTTTTCTTGTTTTTATGTGTAAAAGACTCAGTTTCTGCAGTGAAATGACTCACAATATAAGTGTGTCTTCAAAACAGATGTCAGTCATTGTCCTGTCTACCATCACCAGATCGGTGTCATAGATCTCTGTGCCGCACTGAAGCAGGCAGAACACAGCACAGCGATGCAACTCTGAAAATGGAAAACATGGAGGTAAAAAATCAAGAAGGAAGAATAAAAGATCCCTTCATCTGTATGCTACAGTCACTATTATAGGAGAAGAATAAATGGAAGACAACCCCTAGTGGTTGCATCATAAAGTTGCTTTTTGCTGCAGTAATAGGGTATTTTCTTGGCCTCCACCAGCCGTACCAATTAATATCCCTACACATGTAGGTGGATCAAAATTTTCACTTACCTCCTTTGTTTTTGAAGTACTCTGAGTCTTTCCACATGAGGGGGATTCGCAGATCTACAGTGTACGCATATTAAAAGAGCACCTTTTATAAAAGTTTTTCTCTGCTAGGTCTATTTGTACAGATATTTTGTCACACTCACCAGAGAGTGAGAGTTTCCCAATACACGGTTCTGCATCTTCAGATATACTGATGACAAATGGATCACTTATCAGTCATTAGAAAAAAATACAGAAAAGAGGCGTACACATGGTACAAAGAGTAAAAAAGACAAGCAGAGATTGAAAATGTGTTTCAAAGTGAAATCCTTTTCTGCTATAAATAAAATATATGTATTTCCATGCAGAACACAAATATCCATTTTATATTCATGCCTTGCACACCTGAAGGTATCGCTCATAAATGGAAATTCTGGATACATTCATTGTTTAATATAAACACAGCTCACGCATCTCAAAATAACCTTGTTTGACATCTTGTGTTTGGCATAGGCCATGCATTTTCTGCAAAAATCAGACCTTGTCTTTGGTTTAAAAACAACCATAAAACACGCTATTCAAGCTCCTCATTTCCATGCATCTCCCTGAGCGATTACCTGCCCATAAAATCATGCACATATTCAATCTCAGTTTTTCATCTGACCTGTATCCCACTCCTTCTAAGATCTGTGCTTTCCTTATCCTCTGTAGCTGGCTGAGCAGAGCCAGAATGCGGGCGTTGCAGGTTAACAGACTCTTTGAGGCCTCCAGGGCCTGATCTTTCCGGGAACAAGCAGCCAGCAGTTTACAGGTCCCCTCCTGCATTCGCACCTCTCTCTCAATCTGCTGCAGCACTCCCTCATCCTGTTAGAGACAAAGTAAATATACTGTATGTTACCCACAGCTAAGAAACTCCATAATGAAACCTGCAATACATTGGCTGGAAAAAAAGAATAACAATCCCACACAAGCAAAGTGTGGCTTAATCTTTATTCTAAATCCTTTGGGAGGTGAAATAAAGCCCCCCATTCATAACATCCAGTGAAAGTGGAAGTTTTAAACTGGATTAAGTTATAAAACAACAGAGATTCATCATCTGAAAATGGAAAGACAATGACACAGCATCTAGAAACCCATCAAACTATCAGTAGTGATGTTAAAAAAATTATTGCCTTACAATTAAATAAAAAAGACATTTCTTTTTGTGTACACTTGTGTGTACAAAAATTACTAAATAAAATCTGCCCAAGTCTTAGTCTATATCTAATGTCTTAATTGTTGATTATTTGTTTATTAGATAAAAATTGTTTCGTCCGATTACTCTATAATCTTTGCTTAAAACAAATTTGTATTGCTGTTCATTCTTAAACAGAACCTAGTATTTAAAACAGAAATAATGCAGAAACAATAATCGATCCAGAGTCCGATCTGAGGTAATCTACACTGTGCATTGGTGACAAGGATGCAGAAGGAATTTTACATGGTTCTGTCTGTAAATATAAACACTCCATAAACACCTTGAGTTATCATGTAAATAGTTTCTATTCAGCAGTGCTGCATGTAGGAGCAGCATAATTTATTTGCTGTGTTTGAATGCTGAGGATGTGGTGATACCGAAATAGAGGGCCTTATGGAAAATGTTGGTGACATGATAGAAAAAGACATACCAGCAATAAGCATGGTAGATGTGGAGGCTTTTGTGAGTTTATCCACTTTAATGATCCAAGTTTTAACATTCCTCTGAGCAATCAGAACTCCCCTTTTAAAATATGCCTTGACAGCATAAATTATCTGTGAATACATCTACCAAAAATCTGAATCCCAAATAAAAACAGAGAGCTACACTCACCGGCCACTTTATTAGGTACACCTGTCCAACTGCTCCTTAACACTTAATTTCTAAGCAGCCAATCACATGGCGGCAACTCGGTGCATTTAGGCATGTAGACATGGTCAAGAAAATCTCCTGTAGTTCAAACCGAGCATCAGTATGGGGAAGAAAGGTGATTTGAGTGACTTTGAACGTGGCATGATTGTTGGTGCCAGAAGGGCTGGTCTGAGTATTTCAGAAACTGCTGATCTACTGGGATTTTCACGCACAACCATCTCTAGGGTTTACAGAGAATGGTCCGAAAAAGAAAAAACATCCAGTGAGCGGCAGTTCTGTGGGCGGAAATGCCTTGTTGATGCCAGAGGTCAGAGGAGAATGGCCAGACTGGTTCGAGCTGATAGAAGGGCAACAGTGACTCAAATAACCACCCGTTACAACCAAGGTGGGCAGAAGAGCATCTCTGAACGCACAGTACATCGAACTTTGAGGCAGATGGGCTACAGCAGCAGAAGACCACACCGGGTGCCACTCCTTTCAGCTAAGAACAGGAAACTGAGGCTACAATTTGCACAAGTTCATTGAAATTGGACAATAGAAGATTGGAAAAACGTTGCCTGGTCTGATGAGTCTCGATTTCTGCTGCGACATTCGGATGGTAGGGTCAGAATTTGGCGTCTACAACATGAAAGCATGGATCCATCTTGCCTTGTATCAACGGTTCAGGCTGGTGGTGGTGGTGTCATGGTGTGGGGAATATTTTCTTGGCACTCTTTGGGCCCCTTGGTACCAATTGAGCATCGTTGCAACGCCACAGCCTACCTGAGTATTGTTGCTGACCATGTCCATCCCTTTATGACCACAATGTACCCAACTTCTGATGGCTACTTTCAGCAGGATAATGCGCCATGTCATAAAGCTGGAATCATCTCAGACTGGTTTCTTGAACATGACAATGAGTTAACTGTACTCAAATGGCCTCCACAGTCACCAGATCTCAATCCAATAGAGCATCTTTGGGATGTGGTGGAACGGGAGATTCGCATCATGGATGTGCAGCCGACAAATCTGCAGCAACTGTGTGATACCATCATGTCAATATGGACCAAACTCCCTGAGGAATGCTTCCAGCACCTTGTTGAATCTATGCCACATAGAATTGAGGCAGTTCTGAAGGCAAAAGGGGGTCTAACCCGTTACTAGCATGGGGTACCTAATAAAGTGGCCGGTGAGTGTATATAACAGTTTTGTCCACTTCATTTAAATGAAGAGGCTCTGATTGCATGTCTATAGGTGACATATCCTTCTTTTTAATAATAGTTTCATACCCTGTACATCAATAACCAGGCTCCTATTTTGTTATATTGTTAGGAATATTTTTTATTGAATGTTGTACAAGTCTGTTAAACCCTAATAATACCTTCCTGTTAAGTGTCAGAACTGATGTTTTGCCAGGTAGTTTATCTAATTAGGACAGATCATAAATTTATTAAGTCAGTTAATAAAAAGTCATCTTCATTATGTTTGAGGGAAAGATTTGGGGAATTGTATGAGAGCGGTGTTTTTGATCTAAGAACTAAGTGTTATATTTTGACTGGAGCCATGGACGTGTCCTCACCTGCAAACGTGTATGATGTAATGATGTGATGATGTGGTAGACTGAAGATGCTTCTCTAACTGTCATTCAGGGCAACTCGATAAGCGCTGCCTTCTATAACCCTAAGCAACTTCTCTGATCTGAGTAAGATTACAATTTATGTCAAAATCTGTAGACATATCTCATTGTTATTTATTACACATACATTATGAAGTGTTATTTAAAGTGCTTTTCTCTTCTCAGGAAAAGAACCGGAGTGAGAAAGCTTCAAGGTGTAAACACAGAGCTTTCCTTAACAATATATTTTAAGTTAAATTATTTTAAAGAAAGCATTTCCTTTATTCAATCTGTATTTAATACAGGTCACACAACACATTATAAGGATGTTCCATGTTTTGATTCAGAATATTGTGAAAAAATATTTTTCGCCTGTTATTGAAAGACAAAAATTCAGGTTTTTAAAAAAGTTCACTAATCAATTAATTGTTAGTCGATGGATAAGCGCAATCAGCTTTAGATTAATTCATTAATTAATAACTTCATCTCTAATTACCAGTCACTTAAATACGGGATGAACAATTTGTGGAAATGACAAATATTAGTTGTTTTGTCCACACATTTAGTCTTTATGGACAGGCGAAATAAAAGATTGCAGAAATGTTGCCATGCAGGGATCACAGCAAACACATGGGAGAGGGTGGCTGAATGAGACTCATTTTCAAAATTCATCCTGAGACACTGTGACACAACATTTAACCGTGAACACACATGCCCCACTGCAAAGCATGGTGTTGGCAGTGTCATGCTACGGGAGTCTTTCCTTTTAGCTGATATAAACAAGTCAGAGTTGATGAGAAAATAGATAGAGACATGCTGGAGGTACAATGAATACAGACTGAGCTTAGTCCAGACTGAGCAACCTGAATGGTTTCCATAATTGCACTAACAAGTTCAGATTTCAGATTTTCACAAAATTTGTAGTAATTAAAGTTTCACTCATATAAAACGCAATGATGTACAATAAAGCTGTTGTCTCTCATGTGTCAAAATGTGGAACGGTTTAAAGGAAATGAATGGTTTCTGAAGAAAGAGGAATCATGTCCGTAATTTGACACTTAACTGTTGGTAGCTTTGTAAGCATGAAACAGCCAACAGGAATTACTGAATAGAAGCTTTGAACCTCCATGTTACATAAGAACCCAGGACTCACATCCGTACATGACTGGAATCTCTGGACAACAATCAAGACACAAATCCAAGAGGCTGCAGGGAAATAAAAGTAATGCAAGATCTCATAGAGCAAGAAATCACATCCATGTCATGTTCTCTTGGCTCCTGTGATTCTAAGTTTCATAAGTAGTTAGAATTTCCTAATGCAATTTTTTTTCTACAAAAAATAACAGGCATTCTGTTTTATTCATGGTTGTAATATATTCATTACGTCCATTCCTTTGTTGGGCTGCTGTGATGTTTAATAGAAGCTGTTGGCCTTGAAGAGCGAAGGGCTCCACTAGTGGATTGTTTCTCACACAAAATGTTCAAATATAAAAAAAAATGCCTCTTGTCAGTTTTGTTTAGCATCCTGAACCTTCATATTTACATAATGATTGCAGCCATTTCCTTGGATCTCAATATGATGCTGTTGTTGCCATAGTTCCCAAATACAGCAGATTCCCAAATATGTGTGCTGGAAGTCAACCATGCATAAATAAGTTCTGTAGTTGATATTTGGAGATCAGATCAATATTGGATAATTCAGCCATGCTGTAATGTTTAGATACATTCTTAATCTATTGTTAATGGTACATGTATCTGAATCCGTAGGTCACCAAACAGCATGTTTTTTTTTGGTTTTTTTGATGTAGATAAACATAACTGTTTTGTAACTAATTCGAAAACCAATTAAGCTTACTTTCTTTATACAAATTCAGCTAAATTCAGACAACAGTTAATGACTTATCTGTCTAACAAAACAAACATACTCATCAGGGTACTTTTTCCATCTTCTGCTTACCTGCGTCCTGTTGGCCATGGCTGCTCTCGGCTGTGCCTCAGAGGTCTGTTCGGGCTGCACACTCTGGGAGCAGGATAATCCTGTAGCTGATTGAACCAGCATTCAGGCTGGATCTGCAGACAGAGCAGTTAGTTACTCAACAGAGATCAAAACAATCTTAAGCCTCCATGCAAGAGGCTGTAGAACGAAGGATTAGAGTCTCAAAAATTACAAGCTCTCATTCAAGCAGCTCTGTGGCAGTATTAATGCAGGTCCAGGTACAGTATGTGCTAATCAATATAAATGCCTTTAAAAAATCTGCATGCAGATAAATTCTATGAATTAACAAAACAACATAGAAGCCAGCCAGGAAACCAAGTTAGGGAAAATAACATTTCCATTTGCTTATGGGAAATAGAAGTTGTTGGATGAATATAGTTATTTTAATAAAACCTAATTAACTCAGTACATAAAAATACAGATTTTTTTTTTTTACTATTCTTTGATTCATCTAAAGGGTGACTAGTAAAGCTAACAGAAATCTGTGGTACCTTCCATAACTGGAATGCATTGTTGTATTGTGTAACAAAGCTCCTACTCTGTACAAGCAGGGCTTTTTACTGCCTGGTCACTTTTGGAAAAAAAAAAAAAAAAAGTGAGGTGACCTAAGCCCCTGAGAAAATCCTAATCCGAGAAAGAAATGACAAACATTTTCAGCTGATGGATCATAACCAGGGTGAAAGACTTCCGAACATTGATATTTTTAAAATGATAAAGAAAACAATTAAATACAATAAAAACACAATCAAAAAAGTTTGCGAACAATTTGCTTCAATTTCTTTACAGTTTCATGTTATCACAAATGCAAAAAAATAATTTCTATCGAAAGGGTTGCCAGATTTTATTTAGGAGGACAAGCAGAGTTTTTCCTAAAACTCCAACACTGCTGAGGTTGGATGCGATAAATGTAGTTTTTAATCATCAGATCCTGATGAGCTTGGACATATATGTTAATCTCACTGGGCCAGATCATCTGAATTAAGGCTCTCGGTGATGGCAACTGCTGCCCAATAAACATAAGATGGTATCTGCAAGAGAAGGACTTAAAAAGCATCCTAAAAGCAGAATTTCTTCCCACGCTTCAATCTAAGTTTGCAATATCTTGGAGCCTTCTCCTTCAGTAAAAGAATGAATGTAGGCTTGATTGGAATAAAAACAAAAATACTCAATATAAACTTGTATCCATCAGTGTTTAAGATGGTTTACCAGACTATTGTCATTTTTTTAGACACACCAACAGGGATTAATATTAATATTTTAAAGCTGCCCGGCCAGAATCCTGATTTGAATCTGATTGGGAATTAGTGGAGAGAACTAGAAATAACTGGTTTGTTTTTATTAACCCAGACTTGGAAGCTCATTCACCCCGGATGAAATTTCGAAATACCAGATGAGCTGAATTCCTTAACTGCCTGAAGTTATCATTCTTAACTAAACAAGAGTAAGGTGTTATTCTTAAAACATTAACTCGTTGAAAAGTTAATCCCAGGACTGACAGGACTGTTAGGGCTGAACTGACAGCGACTTTCCTCGCTTGCACTGAGGAAGACAAGACAAATGACAGTTTCCTTTGTACTTGTAATTGATTAATAGCTACTTGTAGAATGAAAGTAATTTTGTTGAAGGTAAATCGATACTTATGTCTATTCAGACCAGTAGGGGTAGCTTGAACTTAGGCTTGCAGTTATTTGCATCTACAGCTAAGAAAAAAAAAAAAAGAAAAAAAAACAACAGTAGATTAAAAATGTTCTAGAAGCATCTTGAGTTTTATCAAACTTTTCTGCCCAACTGTCTCTAACCAGATCAAAGGATGCATGTTAACACAAGGCTCTGGTGAATTCACTGAGGCATTGTTCCCTTAAAACAACAGGGAATCTCTTTGTTTTGCAATGAATGGAACACATAGAAAAATGCTCCTTTGTTGTTTTTTTTTTGTTCCTTACCTCAGAGGGTCTAGGTAGGCGGCCTTGCATGCTGATTCTGGGTGTTTTTTAACAGGTTTTTCCTCTTTTTTTGACCGACATACTTTGTCTGGAGGAGGGTGTTCTGTATTATTAAATGCAATAGACTGAGCTTTGATGGATTCTGTTTTTAACCAATAAGCTAAATTTTTCCAGTTTAAGAATCAAGATGACATTGGACTTCATAAGATCTACAGGTGCTGGTCATAAAATTAGAATATCATGAAAAAGTAGATTGATTTCAGTAATTCCATTTAAAAAGTTAAACTTGTATATTATATTCATACATTACATACAAACTCATATATTTCAGATGTTTATTTTGTTTAATTTTGATGATTACAAATGACAACAAATGAAAATCTCAAATTCATCATATCAGAAAATTAGAATATTGTGAAAAGGTTCAAAATTGATGGCCCCTGGTGCCACACTCTAATCAGCTAATTAACTCAAACCACCTGCAAAAGCCTTTAAATGGTCTTTCAGTCTAGTTCTATAGGCTACACAATCATGGGGAAGACTGCTGACTTGACAGTTGTCCAAAAGACGACCATCGACACCTTGCACAAGGAGGGCAAGACACAAAAGGTCATCGCTAAAGAGGCTGGCTGTTCACAGAGCTCAGTGTCCAAGCACATTAATAGAGAGGCGAAGGGAAGGAAAAGATGTGGTCGAAAAAAGTGTACAAGCAAGAGAGATAACTGCACCCTGGAGAGGATTGTGAAACAAAACCCCTTCAAAAATGTGGGGGAGATTCACAAAGAGTGGACTGCAGCTGGAGTGAGTGCTTCAAGAACCACCACACACAGACGTATGAAAGACATGGGTTTCTGCTGTCGCATTCCTTGTGTCAAGCCACTGTTGAACCACAGACAGCGTCAGAAGCGTCTTGCCTGGGCTAAAGAGAAACAGGACTGGACTGCTGGTGAGTGGTCCAAAGTCATGTTCTCTGATGAAAGTAAATTTTGCATTTCCTTTGGAAATCAAGGTCCCAGAGTCTGGAGGAAAAGAAGAGAGGCACTTCATCCACGTTGCTTGAAGTCCAGTGTAAAGTTTCCACCATCAGTGATGGTTTGGGGTGCCATGTCATCTGCTGGTGTTGGTCCATTGTGTTTTCTGAGGTCCAGGGTCAACGCAGCCACATACCAGGAAGTTTTAGAGCACTTCATGCTTCCTGCAGCTGACCAACTTTTTGGAGATGCAGATTTCATTTTCCAACAGGACTTGGCACCTGCACACAGTGCCAAAGCTACCAGTACCTGGTTGAAGGACCATGGTATCCCTGTTCTTAATTGGCCAGCAAACTCTCCTGACCTTAACCCCATAGAAAATCTATGGGGTATTGTGAAGAAGAAGATGCAATACACCAGACCCAACAATTCAGAAGAGCTAAAAGCCACTATTAGAGCAACCTGGGCTATCATAACACCTGAGCAGTGCCACAGACTGATCGACTCCATGCCACGCCGCATTGCTGCAGTAATACAGGCCAAAGGAGGCCCAACTAAATACTGAGTGCTGTACATGCTCATACTTTTCATGTTCATACTTTTCAGTTGGCCAACATTTCTATAAATCCTTTGTTTTTATTGGTCTTCAGTAATATTCTAATTTTCTGATATGATGAATTTGAGATTTTCATTTGTTATTTGTAATCATAAAAATTAAACAAAATAAACATCTGAAATATATGAGTTTGTATGTAATGTATGAATATAATATACAAGTTTCACTTTTTAAATGGAATTACTGAAATCAATCTATTTTTTCAAGATATTCTAATTTTATGACCAGCACCTGTAAATTCAATCACATCGTTTCATGTTATTGAAGAATAAGACTAATTTAAGTTGAATTTAGTCTGACATTGAGATGATATAAGGTGTTATACTCTGAAAAAAAATCAGCTTTCATTCATTATGTTGGTAAGAGCCCTTTTTTTTTTGCAAACTTTAACTTTTAAACCCAGTTTACGAAATAAAAAAAATTTATATATAAGTGCTAATTAGTTTTTGGGGAATGTACTTTTTTTGCTATAGATGTTTAAAAATCTTTTTAGGTCACAAGGGATAACACCTTATGTGGTCTTTCATTAACTATTTAATTTAATTAAAAAATACACCTACATTTTAGAGATTTTCTGGTCATTTGGGTTTAAAAAACAAAAATGTATCTAGCTGTTTGATATTTTATTGTTTTAGTATAAATCAAAATATAGATACCAAAGTAGATTTCCAATCCAGCAATGGTTCAAAAGGAAAGTTTGACTTTTTTTTTTTTTTTATATCATAGATGTTGACATTTATGTCATTGCGATTTGCCAAATTTGGTTTGAATTATTTTTAATTAAATTCTAATTAATCTCAAAATAATGTTTCCATTCTTAGCTGGGGAGATACACCACAAGCTAGTATGTATTCTAGGTTAATAACACTAAAATTGAAACCTAAAACACCTTTTTTTTTCAGATTCTTTTTTTTTTTTTTTTATGAATATGGTGAAATAAAACATTGAAATTAAAAACAAACTCAATGAATCCAAACAAACCAGTGACAGTTGCTAACATCAGGAAGTCGTCATTTAATATCAAATATTGCATTAGAGCTTTATCACTGCAAGATAGATTCGATATATTACAAATTACATTTATTTTCCCGTTAAAAAGTAAGAAAAAGAAAGCAAAAAAATCCTTTTTAATATTTTAACCAACCTGAAAATAAAAATCGCACATTACGTTTTAGGAACCCTATAGTTAACACCAGAAGAGCTGCGCTAGATCAATAAAAACTAAAGAGTTCAGACAAACAATGCAGCAGTTAGCGGATGTTTAGATTACATCTCTTTTGGCAAAAACTTTTAACATCCCCAAAAAATTGAAATTAAATAGAAGTCACAAAAGTCTAGCTTATGAACATCAAATAAGAACAAAGCTAAACTACGCTGCAATGTTGTTGGTCTTATATATTTTGCCACATTTCAGAACACTCAACAGGAACAAAAAAATGACTTAATCTACAGAAATGCTTTTTTTATGTGTGCCTTTTTTAAGTTTACTTTCTTAAATCATACCTATAACTCCAAATGGCGTTATGTACACAAGGAAGTCCAAGATGCAGACATGTAAGTAGCTTGAAGTATCAAATATAATATTCTGTACAAGGTCCTCAATACAAACACATCTACAGAACATATCAAAATGTCTTAGAATTTCATTCATATTTATAGAATTACATTCTATTACAATAAACAGAATTACCAAATAAATATATATTACAATGGCCTCTCACTGTGGAGATAAGTTTCTGACAGACACTGATGTAGTATAAAATCTAAAGTATAAACATGAGGAAAAACAAAAGGTAAATCAGTCCTACTTCACAACATTTGTTTTCACAGCTGATTTATCAAATCTGAGACCCAGTGTTAAAGTGTCAGTCAGCTGAGAGGAATTCAGTCATTTTTCCAGACATATTTACATTGTTTACATTTTCTCTTTGTAGAACCAAACTTTAAATCTGTGCAGCAGTTTAAAAACCAAACTTCTTAAGTTTAAAGGATATATCAGATAAAAAAAAAAAATAGAAAAAGTAAATAGATTCCTGAATAAACTACTGCAGGCATGATACAAAAGTGCTTTTATTCCTCTTCCACTTCTGTAAAAATGTCACTTAGGAAGAACTGCGACACGCTGGTAGGCTCCTCTTCAACGAAGCCGCTCTCCCGTTCAGGTGAAGTCGGAGCCTGCAGGATGGAGTAAAAGGTTAGTTTTCATCAAACTGACGGTGGAGCTGAAACAAATCTGTATCCTCTTTACCGTAGATGAAGAAGTCAGGTCGATGGGAGCCCCCACAGTTGTTGGTGATTTTGTTTTTCTGGGAATACTATAATTTGATGCAGACAAGTTAGGCTCTGATGAGGACATATGTGACGCTCCTGATGTGGATTTCCCTCGACTTCTAGTTTTTGCTGCTTTCCTGGTCGGGGGATTCCTGCTTTCAGTAACGCTTGGTTCAGAAATGCTGGAGGTAGAAGCTTCGGCTTTTCTGTGTTTAAGTAAAAGAAGACAATTTAAATACGATTCAAAGTTACCTTATAAGACAACATGATAAATTACACAGATGTTCTTTCTCACCTTGTCCGTCGACTTTTCTTGTCAGCTACATCATCGATCGTTTTACTTGGCTCTGCAATGGTGTTGATGGCTATCGGCTCCACAGTAATTTCAGGGTGCACTCCGGATTCCAAACTCGCCCCAGTGGTGCTGCAAAGGGAGGGAACCCCAGAAGTGCTGCAATGAGAGGAAAGTTGGAGGATTCAGACAGAAAACTCAACATTCCAAACCTTTCTAGGTGGAGAGGCAGTTTTATCATTAACCTTGACTGCTGTCCCGATGTATCTGTTGCAGGAAGGTAAGTGAGATTCTCAGCTTCACTCATTCCCACTCCCCCTGCTGATGTGACTGGGATCTCAGTCAGAGAAAGGATAAAAAATGGTTCATCTGGATCGGAAGGCACTTGTTCTGGGAGCACTGAGAGAAGAAGCGGCATCATTCAGACAAAAACGATCAGGAAAGAGAAATCAGCAACAGAATACAAACTTCAAACAAGATTTTTTGAGGGAAGGATCATCTCGGACTGACTTACGTGCTGACAGGAGCGAATCTCTCTGAATCCCCTCGGTGCTTGATGTTTGATGCTAAGATTAAAGGAATCAAAGTGAGAAATTTGAGGGAATGCAACAGCATATTTTTGTGTAGCACATTCCATCCATGATCAAAGTGCTGACTTTTCAAACTAGACAAATTGCTTCATCGCCCTATTTATTAAAAGGACGTTCCAGAGAGTCTTGTAAAGGCATTCACACCCTTTATACTTCATCTACATTTACAATGCTACAGTTACAAACACACGTTTTTCTTGGAAGTTCAACTATAGTTTTATAGAAGATCACTTCCAAAGGCAGGTGGTTGGATAAATATGATATTTTAAAACACTAATAACCCCTTGAGCTTCACTATCATGTACTGCTTTCTGTGTGTCTAACACATAAGAATAAAATCTTTTATTATATGTCATGAGTATTAAGGTATGTGAACTCCCTTACTGCCTTTAAATAAGATCATCTAAATTCCTCTTTCTGGTAAAATATGAATGTTAAAGAGGCATTGATGTTTTTGCTTTGGCTACAAATTGGATATCATCTTTACTACTTTGATTAATCATAGTCACATTAAAAAAAGAAGTAATACTCTAGGATATTCAGGGAAAAATGCTTTAAAATAGCTAAATAACACTTAAAGATGCATTTCTAATACTTCGATGTTTAAGTACAACCAACGTAATTACAGCTACCAAACATTAGAGGGCGCCTTCTCTCTCTTTCTGTTCAGGTTTATACAGTCCATAAATCCCATTATAGAAACTAGATCATCTGAAGACTGTTCCACAGGGGAATAAGAGAGTCTTCTTTTTCTAAATATTATTAAGGTATTAATGTTTTTTTTAATCTGAAAAAATATCATTAAACCACAATGTGTCTCAAAAAAGTGAGTTCACAAAAAGCAAACTTACTGGCCACAACATTACTGAGTTATAGAGGAACCGTTTATATAGTTATTACAGGAAAAATGTAGAGGGAATTTGAAAATTATATATATTAGTACAGGATGAATCATTTAAGAGAAATGTTAGTAAAGGCGTGTATTTGTCCTACCTCGCTAGTGGATCCTTCTTTATGCTCACATTGAGAAGCATTATTTGAATTGGTGTCTTTTTCATTTTGCTTCCTAATTAGTCTTTCTTCCTGCTCCTTGCTGCATGCACCAAGTTCAGACGCAGGTTTTTGATCACCAGAGGTTCTAAGGGGGTGTGAGGAACTATCAGAGTCTACAGAAAAGAAAAACAAGTTTAGATCACATTAGCTGAACCATTAAAACCACAACCACCTATGTAGGACAGCCTAGTGAACAGGAAGGGCTATCGAACCTGAACCTGTTGATTGTGTCTTTCCAACTGCCTGGGTTTGCTGGGGACGACTGCTGCATCTCAGGTTGGGTTTAGGTTTATTCAGCCTCCCTCTGGCTGCTTTTCCTGATGCCTTAGAAGAGCCTGTTAACTCTGATGGTGTTACATCACTGCTTTAAAAGGTGAACCAAGCAAAAATAAAGGGAAAGGATTTATTCCCTAAAGCTGTAGAAAAAACACAAAGGAAATTAATTTACCAGCACATGTATGTCTTACCCTTGGACAGAGGAGCCTCTCTTAGGAGGTGAGACACTGGTATTAGAAGTTGAAGGGATGTTCGTTATTGCAGTCTGAGGAGCATCTGTTTGGGTATTTGAGCTGTAGACCAGTGACGGCATATCCAAGCCGCCAACCCCAGATGAAAGGGATTCAGGCTCACCTGGATCATTATCTGACATTGTCATTTTACAAGAATCTGTCTGTTGTTCCAGTGAAACAGCAGAGGGCTTCTCTTCAGAAGGTCTACTGTGCTTGTCTGATTGCAGCTTTCCAACTCCACAGCTCGACTTCAGATTAGGCTTGGGTTTGGAGAACCTTTGTCTTCTTGTTGGTGTGCTTTTTTCTGTGACAACTGAAGTTGAAACTTGTCCAACGTTGGTCAGTGTCTTTTTCTCGGTTTCTCTTTTTTCTTCAGGGTTTGGACTTTGTGGTTTTTCTATTGACTTTTCAGCATTTGATTTTTCCTCCTGCTGATCACCGGCAGGCCAGTTACCCACATTCGTAGGTTTAGTGCGGTCTTGGACCAAAGCATCTATGTTGAAAGTGCTCCCCTTTTGTAAACTGGTTGAAGGTGAATCAACTGTTGGCGCAGCATTCATACTTTCACTCACTCCATCCTGAGGTGTCAGGTTTGCATCAGTGAACTTAGAACACTTCTCCTCCTCCATGGCAGTCCGCTGTTCCCCGAGTTTAGGTTGCACCGGAGCCTTGTCTTCGTGCTTTGACCTTGATGGTCTTGAAGTCTGTGATAAATTTGGTTTAGGCTTTTGTAAACGACTTCTTCTGACCTGGCAGACTGATGGCATTTTATCTTCCTTTGGAATGACAGGTAACTCTTCTGAGCCGGTAATGTAAGCTTCAGGATGGTCGCTTGTTTCTGAAGCAGCTTCAGAGTTCAGGTTTGACTCTTGACCACACTGTGGTTCTTTAACCGTTCGATCAATCAGTGCATGATGGCTTTTAGTGATCAAAGATCTATGATCTGCTTTAAGGTTCTCAACAGATGCTGGCTCTTGTTCTTCATGTAGCCCAGGACTGACAGTAGAAATCTGTTCCTTAGTAGCTGATGCTGCTGCATTCATGCCTTCCTGATCATCAGACCCCATCTCTTTTATTTCTGAAGGTCTGACGCTGCATTCGGATGTCGGTGGCGTTGTTAAATCTGATGCGGGATCAGTATCTTTGTTCAGAATTTCAGAAAACGTCGGGCTTTGATCAAGTCCTGTCACCTTGTGTTCAGGATCTGCTTGCTTCCCTGACTGGTTTTCAGGTGTTTCAGCTTTAAGCCTTGCAGATCTTGAGGTCTGAGGTATGTTAGGCTTGGGTTTGAGTTTGGATAATCGATTCCTCTTTTGCTGTCCAATAGTTTCGCTGTCATGTTTGCAGAAGGACGACTCTTCCTCCGGACTGACAAACACAGCAGGTTGACCTCGCTGGTCCTGGACTTGGTGAAGATCAAAATTTGTTGGGACGATATTTGATGTAACTGAATCATTACAACTATTTTCACTCGTTTCACTGGGAGAAACTGAATCTTTATCCATGAGCTTGGAGACTGATTCTGAGTCATTTGTAGTTTGATTTCTGTTTCTCTCAGCAGTAACTGGAGTAGAGTTCTGGTCATCTGTGGCACTTTGATTCGACCCTGCTTCCATGTCTTTCTGATTAACTAGCTCAGAACTTGTCTTCTCCTCCTCATTTGTGGATGGCATTTCCTTTAATAGATTAATGGAGTCTGATGTCAGTAGTGGATTCAAACGTAAAGCAGAGCCAGTGGCTACAAGCTGTTGCTCAGACGTTGAAGTGCTTGGAGTTTGTAGGGGAACCTGCACTGTTGACTTTGTAGGTAATTTGGGATGTGAACCAGGACTTTTTACTGTCGTTTCTGCTGGAGACTGAGGCTTTGTCTTAATGGCCCTTGAAGTCTGTGATAAATTTGGTTTAGGCTTTTGTGATCGACTTCTTCTGACCTTGCTGACTGTTGGCATTTTATCTTCCTTTGGAATGACCGGTAACTCTTCTGAGGCTGCAATGTAAGCTTCAGGATGGTCGCTTCTTTCTGGAACAGCTTCAGAGTTCAGATTTGACTCTTGACCACAATGTGGTTCTTTAAGCGTTTGGTCAATCAGTGCCTGATTACTTTTAGTGATCAAACATCTATGATCCGCTTTAAGGTTCTCATCAGATACTGACTCTTGTTTTTCATGTAGCCCAGGACTGACAGTAGAGTCCTGTTCCTTAGTATCTGATGCTGCTGCATTTACGCCTTCCTGATCATCAGACCCCATCTCTTTTATTTCTAAAGGTCTCACAATGGATCCGGAAAGCAGTGGCAATGTTGAACCTGATGCAGAATCAGTATCTTTGTTCAGTATTTCAGAAAAAGCCGGGCTTTGCTCTAGTCCTCTCACCTCGTGTTCAGGATCTGCTTGCTTCCCTGACTGGTTTTCAGGTGTTTCAGCTTTAAGCCTTGCAGATCTTGAGGTCTGAGGTATGTTAGGCTTGGGTTTGAGTTTGGATAATCGATTCCTCTTTTGCTGTCCAATAGTTTCGCTGTCATGTTTGCAGAAGGACGACTCTTCCTCCGGACTGACAAACACAGCAGGTTGACCTCGCTGGTCCTGGACTTGGTGAAGATCAAAATTTGTTGGGACGATATTTGATGTAACTGAATCATTACAACTATTTTCACTCGTTTCACTGGGAGAAACTGAATCTTTATCCATGAGCTTGGAGACTGATTCTGAGTCATTTGTAGTTTGATTTCTGTTTCTCTCAGCAGTAACTGGAGTAGAGTTCTGGTCATCTGTGGCACTTTGATTCGACCCTGCTTCCATGTCTTTCTGATTAACTAGCTCAGAACTTGTCTTCTCCTCCTCATTTGTGGATGGCATTTCCTTTAATAGATTAATGGAGTCTGATGTCAGTAGTGGATTCAAATGTAAAGCAGAGCCAGTGGCTACAAGCTGTTGCTCAGACGTTGAAGTGCTTGGAGTTTGTAGGGGAACCTGCACTGTTGACTTTGTAGGTAATTTGGGATGTGAACCAGGACTTTTTACTGTCGTTTCTGCTGGAGACTGAGGCTTTGTCTTAATGGCCCTTGAAGTCTGTGATAAATTTGGTTTAGGCTTTTGTGATCGACTTCTTCTGACCTTGCTGACTGTTGGCATTTTATCTTCCTTTGGAATGACCGGTAACTCTTCTGAGGCTGCAATGTAAGCTTCAGGATGGTCGCTTCTTTCTGGAACAGCTTCAGAGTTCAGATTTGACTCTTGACCACAATGTGGTTCTTTAAGCGTTTGGTCAATCAGTGCCTGATTACTTTTAGTGATCAAACATCTATGATCCGCTTTAAGGTTCTCATCAGATACTGACTCTTGTTTTTCATGTAGCCCAGGACTGACAGTAGAGTCCTGTTCCTTAGTATCTGATGCTGCTGCATTTACGCCTTCCTGATCATCAGACCCCATCTCTTTTATTTCTAAAGGTCTCACAATGGATCCGGAAAGCAGTGGCAATGTTGAACCTGATGCAGAATCAGTATCTTTGTTCAGTATTTCAGAAAAAGCCGGGCTTTGCTCTAGTCCTCTCACCTCGTGTTCAGGATCTGCTTGCTTCCCTGACTGGTTTTCAGGTGTTTCAGCTTTAAGCCTTGCAGATCTTGAGGTTTGAGGTATGTTAGGTTTGGGTTTGAGTTTGGATAATCGATTCCTCCTCGGCTGTCCAATAGTTTCGCCGTCATGTTTGCAGACGGACGACTCTTCCTCCGGTCTGACAAACACAGCAGGTTGACCACGCTGGACCTGGACTTGGTGAAGATCAAAATTTGTTGGGACGATACTTAATGTCATTGCATCATTACAACTACTTTCACTGAGAGAAACTGAATCTTTATCCATGAGCTTGGAGACTGACTCTGAGTCATCGGTAGTTTGATTTCTGTTTCTCTCAGCAGTAACTGGAGTAGAGTTCTGGTCATCTGTGGCACTTTGATTCGATCCTGCTTCCATGTCTTTCTGATTAACTAGCTCAGAACTTGTCTTCTCCTCCTCATTTATGGATGGCATTTCCTTTAATAGATTAATTGAGTCTGATGTCAGTGGTGGATTTAAACGTAAAGCAGAGTCAGTGGCTACAAGCTGTTGCTCAGACGTTGAAGTGCTTGGAGTTTGTAGAGGAACCTTCACTGTTGACTTTGTAGCTAATTTGGGGTGTGAACCAGGACTTTTTACTGTTGTTTCTGCTGGAGACTGAGCCTTCGTCTTAATGGCCCTTGAAGTCTGTGATAAATTTGGTTTAGGCTTTTGTGATCGACTTCTTCTGACCTGGCTGACTGATGGTTTTTTATCTTCCTTTGGAATGACTGGTAACTCTTCTGAGGCTGCAATGTAAGCTTCAGGATGGTCGCTTCTTTCTGGAACAGCTTCAGAGTTCAGGTTTGACTGCTGACCACATTGTGGTTCTTTAAGCGTTTGGTCAATCAGTGCTTGATTGCTTTTAGTGATCAAACATCTATGATCCGCTTTAAGGTTCTCAACAGATACTGATTCTTGTTCTTCATGTAGCCCAGGACTGACAGTAGAGTCCTGTTCCTTAGTATCTGATGAGGCTGCATTCATGCCTTCCTGATCATCAGACCCCATCTCTTTTTTCTCTAAAGGTCTCACAATGCATTCGGATGTCGGTGGCGAAATTGAATCTGATGCAGGATCAGTATCTTTGTTCGGTATTTCAGAAATAGTCTGGTTTTGTTCCAGTCCTGTTACATCGTGTTCAGGATCTGCGTGATTCCCTGACTGGTTTTCAGGTGTTTCAGCTTTAAGCCTTGCAGATCTTGAGGTCTGAGGTATGTTAGGTTTGGGTTTGAGTTTGGATAACCGATTCCTCCTCTGCTGTCCAATAGTTTCGCCGTCATGTTTGCAGACGGACGACTCTGCCTCCGGTCGGACAAACACAGCAGGTTGACCTCGCTGGTCTTGGACTGGGTGAAGATCAAAATTTGTTGGGACGATATTTGATGTAATTGCATCATTACAACTACTTTCACTCGTTTCACTGGGAGAAACTGAATTTTTATCCGTGAGCTTGGAGACTGACTCTGAGTCACCGGTGGTTTGTTTTTTGTCTTTCTGATCAACTAGCTCAGAACTTGTCTTCTCCTCCTCACTGGCAAATGTTTTTTCCTTTAATATAAGCTTTTGCTCAGACGTTGAAGTGCTTTCGGTTTCTAGGGAAACCTGCACAGTTGACTTTGTAGGTAATTCAGGATGTAAACCAGGACTTTTCACTACCGTTTCTGCTGGAGACTGAGGCTTCATCTTCATGGTCCTTGAAGTCTGTGTTAGATTTGGTGTAGGTTTTACCTTCGGCAAACGGCTTCTTCTCAACTGACCAGCAGGTGGAACTTTACTCTCTTGTTCACCAGCTGGCCTGTCTTCTACAGGCAAAATTAAATTAGCAGAACATATTTCTTGTGGGTCTGCAATTAGTCCTGCATTTGATCCTTGCTCAGGCTGTGGTTCTGAATCGGACTGCTCTTCAGGGGTATTCTGATGTTCTCCTTGAGGTTCTACTTCAACCTGTTTTTTCTTCACCTCCCCTGCAGGAAGGTCCTCCATCAAGTTAAAACTGGTAGATGAAGTTTCCACATTATTGATGGTTTGCTCCAAGGGTTTGGGCTCTGAACCTGTTAGCGGCTCTTTTTCCTCCTTCTCTCTGTTTATCTGAGATTTATTCAGTGTAGACCTTGATTTCTGTGGGAGGTGTGGTTTGATTTTTGATATTCTACTCCTTCTAGTTGTAGCTGCACCCATCTCCTTTTGATTGGCTGACAAATCTTTTTCAGGAGGAGGATGTTCGATGTTGCCATCTTGGACTGAATCTGTTGATGTCTCCTGTAAAACCAATTTTTCTTCTGACTTGGATATCAAGGAGTTGCTTAAATCTGTCTCACCAATGCAATCCTGAGGTGTAATGTGTGGCTCTTTATGAGTGGCTAGGATTACTTCTCTGGAAAGAGAGCAACCCTGAACTTCTTTGAGAGATTCGCCATCTTTTAACAAGGCCTCAGAATCTGATCTGTGTAGGCTTATTTCTTTAACCGCTGATGTTCCCTCAGCAGCAGCGTCTAAGCGGCTTTCTTCAACCTTCTTTTCTTTGGACATCTCTGTTTCAGGTGTCGATGCTGCAGTCCTTGAGGTCCGCTCAACGTTTGGTTTAGGCCTTACTTTTGAAAAGCGTGCCCTCTTGGTAGATTGAGAGTTGTTGTTTGAACTCCGTGTCTTCTGCTCGTCACCTATTTGCTCACTGGTTTTCAGACGAGACGTGTCCCCGCTGCTCATTTCACTGGTTTCTGGGTTCATACAGGCAACAGTCTCTGAGATTTCTTGCATTTTTTGAGGACACGGAGTTGGCAAGGTAGCAAGGGCACATTCATCTTGGACACTAGGCAAAATCTTTCCGTCAGAGAGGTCTGGTTGTGTCTTGTCCGCTGCCATCTCTGTAATGACAAATTGTGAACAGTAATTCATCTGAAATATAGAAAAATCAGGAGATAGTTAAGGACTTTTTTGTGGTTTCTGATGCTCATACCTGATGTGTAACCATGAGGGATCACCTCTTTCTGTGCTGACTGAGAAACGTGATTGACATTGCCAATGGTCAAGAGGGTTTGAGCCGCCTCATTATAGCTCTCATCATGAAAAACTGTATTAAAAAAAAAACAAATACAAGCCCTTAAAAGAGCTGCAATTCTATTCACAAGGAGCTTCAAAGAATGAACATATAACTTACCTTCGGTTTGTTCTGTTGTACAAAAGTCTATTACATCCTAAAGCAGAAAAAAAAAATTTAGAGGTTATTTCAATAATAAAATTCTTACAACATACATATGTTCTCAGTAACCCCAGTTACAGTTCTTTCTACCCTTTATCTACAGTTTACGATGCACTACAAAGACATTTAAAACACCTGGAATTTGTAATTTTATTACAAAAAACCTCCGTCTAATTTCATTAGGAGTATTTTATGTGATAAACTAAGCAGAAATGTGAAATGGAAGAAAGGTGATACACACTAGCTCTGGCTTGATGGATTAGCATCAGTGCAGAGCGTTTGCCACTGATCACCTGCCACTGATTCTCATTTTCATTTAACATCTGGACTTTGACTAAATTATTCATATTACGTCAATAAGCTTTGGCTATATGTTAAGTGGAGTTTTCTTCCAGGGAAGACACTTCAATTCCATTCTATCAACTTTTGTTGCTCACAATGAAATTTTTCTATCTTCCCTCCAACACTACTCAGACCATGATGCTGCCGTCACTTTAAACATCATCATGTAACCAGACCTGCCTGTTTTTTTTATGTAGGGTATTTGGTGCTGGCCCTTAAGGTCTTTGAATAGGGTGTGTAACATTGCTTTGGCTGAAAATGGCATCTTTGCCCTAATGCAAGCCAGGTTAAAAGCCCTAGAATGAAACAACAGGTTGGTCTGGACACAGGCGGCCCCGTGCTTCCCCCTGCTCGTGTGGCACGGTAGGGAAGCTAGTATTTTTATGAATGTCTGAAATTTCATGATTACAGAGGCTGAGAAATGAGTCAGAACTGAACCGCTCGGAGTCCTACTGATGAACTAATACCGGTTTAGCACGGTTTTAAGGGGTCTGGCACGGTTCAGTTCAGTTTTGCATGCCATTTACACTCTACAGTTATCTCAGTTACCAAGCTCGGACCGACCGCGGTAAGGTTTCAAAAGGGTAGCGTAGATGGGACTTATATCTCATAGTATATACAGAGATGTAATTACATGCAAATAGACTAATTAGGGGACCTCAGAAAGCATTGATTAAATCAGCTTAAAATGAATGAAATGTGCTTTTACTGTAACATGGCCAATATCAAAGCAAGCCACAACAGTCATAGTTGTATTTGCCAACAAATAACAGTAATGCATGAATTACATTTTTATGTATATCAGGACTTTTCCAGTGACATTTAAGTGAGGCTGACATTCTATTGTTTAAAGCTTAATATTTTAGATCTCAGAGAATTTTAGAGAACAGTTGAATTACTATAGTAATATGTCCTTAAATAAACCGATAAGATCACGCATTAAAACTAATTTAATCAACAAACTGGATATTTAACTGGGGATTAAGATTCAATTTAACATAAACTATAATTTAAGCACACTTGACTTACAACCAGCAGATCCAACTGATGATGACAAGCCTCAGCAGAGCCTGTTTCATGTTGTGCCTGATGAAAAGATGAATCAGGACACAGTGCATCTTGGGAGATGCTCAGCATATCAGGCATACTGGCCAAGATATCAAGCTAATAACAGGATGGGAGGAGTAAAGAATGAAGGGGAAAAAAATAGATGAAAAACATGCATAAAGCAAAAAAAAAAAAATGTTCGAAAAAAAAAAAAAAAAAAAAGAATGATGCATGTCCATGCCTTTTCAATCAGAACTTTTCATGTCCTACCTCGGCCATTGGGTCGTCCACTTCAGAAATCACAGTGTTTATCGAGTGCAGGCCAGAAGGCACCAGGGCAGACGAGTCTTTACTGGAGCCGACACCTGGAACTTGCCCCTCCTCATCATCTTCATCACTGAAGTCTGACTTGGAGGATCTAAGAGTTACCAGTTTGGATTTTTTAGGCTTTTGGTTAGATTGTGGCTTTAATGGGCTGCCTCTTTTAAGAGTGCCCTTAGGTTTTGATTTGGAGGCAGAAGGGGAATTAGCTTCAGTAGCAGAGGAGTGTGATTCATCTTTGCAGGCGAAGGCCACCGTGGGTTTGGGAACCCTCCCATATCTATGAATCAAATGGAAAAAATTAAGCTGTGCTGAAGATAATTTAAGGATCAAAACTTGCAGAATTATGTTCTTTTAAGGTAATCTTTGAGGAGAAGCTGTAATGTTTTACCTGGTAGGTCCAAAGTGCTTTATTGTTTCCTCTTCCTCTTCAGAAGAAATCTCGCCTCCAGGAGAAATTCTCCCACTAGTTCTGCAAGCATCTGATTCACCGTCATTCACCTAAAATATAAGCAACGCCTAAAATAAGTAAATAATCACATTATTTAGGATGTTTTGATGCTTCTAAGCCCAAATAAATAACCTGTTCTTTCTGGGTTTGATCATTATCGTTCTTTTCTTCATTATCAGATCCAGTTTCGTTGCTTTTTCCCTTTTTACTTCGTTTCAGACCCAGAGGTAGAAGCGGTTTTGGTGCTCTGTCTCGTGAAAGCTTCGCTGGCTTGTTTACATTAGGAATGTTTTCAGACCTAAATTTGAAGGGAATAAACAAGTCGCTTAAATAATAATAGAGCAAATAGGACACAATTTAAAGAAATTAGGAGGTATTACATTTCTGAACTGGTGTGGCTCTCAGAAAGTGCAGCCTCTGTTTCTTCAGGTAAATCACCTGAAAACACAGAAGGAAAACCCAAAATCAAAGAAAAACAACAGTTAAACTTTAGGTTAAAAAAAAAGCATTTTACATAATTTAAATAGTTGCAAAAAAAAAGCCCTTTGAGAGATGGACAGATCAGGCAAAGCAACTAGACAGTCAGTTAATTAACTTTGACTTGAGCAAGAAATCCGCTGTTGGTTCAAATCGCTCGTTTTACTCTTGACCAACCCTGATCATTAATCAGCCTGTCAGACAATGAAAAATCCAATGCTTTTCCAGAGCAGTAAACCCACCAATAACAGCTCTTTTTAGGGTTGGAGTTATTCCTAATATATCAAGACCCTGCTTATAAATTAGCATCAATAGTTTTAAATGTCTCAAAATAAGAAACTGTGCCTTATTTTTTGAAGGGGTCATAGAATAATTATATAGGGTATTTGGTGCTGGTCCTTAAGGTCTCTGAATAGGGTGTGTAACATTGGCTGGGCTGCCAGCTCTGGGGCTGGTCCAGGAACTACGGCGGACGGGGGCAGGGAGCCAGCGGGGGATGGAGCCCGACGCCCCCAAACCCGACCCGGTGATGGTGGCCGCGGCCCTGTGCTTCCCCCTGAAATCTGGTCACCATAGATGTGCTAGCATTGCTATCAACAGCTTAGCGACAAAATAGTACTTACAGCTTGCGGCTGTGATGGCCTTACGGTCGGAACATCCCCTCTTTTCAGTAAAAAGTTTAGCAAAGTTTTGCTTTTAACTGTCCAAGATTTTGAAAGCTGCCTTCGGTAAAATGCTTACAGTAAATGAACAGCTGAGCAGCAAACCTTGCAGCCTGGAATACTGCATTTACTCCCATGGTTCTGGCTCATTTTCAATAGAGAAACTGCCTGCTTTCTAATTCTTGTAGAAGTTAACCAAACTGTAGGCTAAACAGCTAAACTGGTGTCTTACATCTACCTCTATTCATGTTCTTGGGCCATTGAACCAGTGGACTGGTCTGTATGTCAATTTCGAGGCGTGACAAAAGTACAGGCCAAAACAAAATAAGGCAACATATCCAAATTGACGTCAATTCGGTGCTTCGTTTGGATTCGCCCGTTTTATGGTGGAAGTTAAGAATTGTGAGATTTGCAGAGAAAGGAGTGTTCGATGGGGTTTGAACTTCTCTGTACATTTATTTCTTCCACTGACCTATCCTTATTCATCTATCACAATGTAAACTCGGTTTTGCATTCTATGACCCCTTTAATGGAGCCATGTTATCCATGCTGTAACAATAGAGATAGAAAGCTGCTAATCTACTGCAAAAGCGAATAAATCTGAAAATGTTTTTAAATGAGAACCAAGTTAAATGCTAATCTATAAGGTTAAACTGTTATAACAGCTCTCCAGTTAACATCATATTCGAGAAATTTTAAGGACTTTCCTGTACCAAGTTCCTCCAATTCAAGGACCGCATGCAGGAGTATGTACCTCCTGCTAGCACGGTGTCATCTGTAGCTCTATGTTTATATGGATATAAGTATTTAGAATAAATGGCTGATCGAACTTAAATGTCTCATGTGAACAAGCCAGTTGCAAAATTCTGATGAGACTCGACAGGATATGAAATTATAATCCGACTGAGAGGGGTGGTTTATGACGATTGGCCATCTAATCAGCACACATGGAAACAACCGTAACCCTAACCCTGCATTAAGGTCACATGTTTCTGCTTTGATTCTAACTGGGATGCATACTTGACGCATCTTTAGTTGGCGTTAGTACAGCACAATCCAATAATTGTTTTGCTTTTGAGTCAGAACATGTCTCAGACAGATCGGGATATTTTTGAGCATGGGAAACAGCTTATAAGCAACTTTTGCAGGATGCAAATCCAACAAAAGAACTGAACAGCATAGAAGTTGTTCAATCAGAATAAATAATGAAAAGGGGATTATATATAAAGCCTTTAAATCCATAAAACATGGATATGTTTAGTGATGGACAGATTAGGCTTTGCTGGGACAAACATGCTGCAAAATGGTTCACTGCTTTATAGTCTCCTCTTTGCTTAAAAATTATCCTGAAACGCTGAGAAAAACCAGAATGTCCTTTAACAGCCAAGCTGGCAAGCTGTGCATCCTGAAATCTGAATCTGATGACTAATTCGGTGTGACTGGCTATTCAGCAATTCCGTCATGAGAAGATTTCGCTCCTGGATTCATTTTCTGTTATGAACTCGTTAGCTATGCACAGGAAGCCTATGAATCCAAAAAAAGCAAACGAATGAAACATTGAAAGCAGTCTTTATACGTCTTTTATGGCTGTTTTGTAAAACTTTCCAGGCCATAGCCTTATTATTTCAAATATAGCACCTTTCAAGTGTTTACATTTTTTTTTTTTTTTTTTTTTATAAAACTGTCCTTATTTCAGAATGACAGTAAGATAATTTTGGCGAAGAAATTCGAAACCAACTACAAAACTGTTCTAATATTAAGTGGCCGTAACAATATTTAACAGAACAAAGATTAATAAGGTCTGAGATATTCTCTTAAGGACCTGTTTTGTTTTTCTTCTCATTTGGCTCTTCTGCCAAGGCCTTTACTGTCTTCTTCCTCTTGCGTTTTTTATTCAGCACAGAGGCAGACGCTTCCTCCTCATTACACTGGTCCTCGTTTTCTTTCTCCTGCCCTTCCTTCAAGTCAGAAACCTCATCATCTTCTTCTTCCTCCACGTCACTCAAGTTTTTGGCTGATTTTTTGCCTGTGAAGGTAGACAAAACAAGGTTTAAAAAAAAAAGAGAGACACAAACTAAAAGCTCCACTGTACTGTGAAAAAAGAACAAGTGGTTTATTTACCCTTATTTCCCTTAGCATTTGTTCGGGACTTTGTTTTGTTATTCTTCTCAACAAGTGACTTAAGTTTCTTCTTCTCCTTCTGATATTCCAAAATTTTATCCAGCAGCTTAGAAAAGTACTCTATATCCAGCTTACGCCTCTCTCCTAAAATAAAAACAAACAAAACCATGGCGTTAAATCCCATCAATCATGAATTATCTAATGTTGTACTTGGCAACCTGAACACTTACTGAAAGCTTTGTCAATCCTCCAACTATTTATTCGCTCCTCCTTTTTGAACTTGTTCTGAAAATAAAAACGTTTTCAAAGATATAGATCACCGGTGAGCCCCTTCCTCATTACACCTTGTAAAAACATATTTAATAATTGGTAATCCTACCTTTATTTCTGTCCGAGCTCTGTGCGGAAACAGCTGGCAAATCATAGAAAAGTCCGTCCCCACCATGCTTACCGCCAGGTAGAACATGTCCGTCTCTGAGGAAAACCAAATACAAAACGGAATATCAGACATGCTTCAAAGCACATTGCAACTTTGCAATGAACTCAGACAATCATCCGCATCATCCACCTTCAATTGACCAGGGTTTGCAGTAAGTTGACTTTCTGAAGCTTGAGTAAGTTGTAGTGGAGCCCCTTTCAAAAATGGGGTCTCTGTTGGATGCTGGGTTCGGGCCTTTGGCTCGCTGGACTTCCACTGTTAAGCTGAGAGGAGGTTTGATAAGTGGCAATAAAGATAAGAAAGGAGCATTATCTAAGACAGTGGTTCCTAAAATGGGGGGGCATTTGCAGGAGGGTTGATAGAAATAAACCGAGGACCCCTCTGAGAGTTCATGTTTTATCATATTGATAGCAATTTTTAATTTTGTTACACAGTAAAATCAAAGGTTTAACTCAAAATAAATACACTAATGTTGGAAGTTTTCTGATTTCAGAGAATGCAGTTAATTTCATAGCAACATATTTATTATTTTTGACTTTTCTATGTAAAACCGGTGAAAGGTTAGGTGGGGGGAGGGTCTTGTAAAAAAAAAAAAAAATCACTAGAAAGCAATAAAGAAAGAACATGACAGACTTACCTTTCCTCATCGATGATCAGCGAGCCGTCTTCTGCTACTTTGACCTGAGGCACCATGAGAGATTCATCCTCCTCTCCCTCTGCAGCAGCCTCTTCCTCTTCTTCGTCCTCATCCTCTCTGGGCTTCTCTTTGGTTGGAGGAACCTCAGGTACATGCTCTGTTGATCTGCAGGACATAAAAGAAATATCTAATATTTAGCAGCCCAACGCTAAACCTTTACATGCCTACAGATGCGATTCAATGCCCCAAAAAGTCACAACTTTCTCCAAAATATGGATAAATTGAATAAAAATGGAAAATGAATAAGCTTGGAGTGAACATCTGTAGTAAAATTTGGAGTTTACCAGATTTCACAGAGAATAAGACGCACAAGAAAATGTTCACAAGACATTTTCCATTTCAATTATGAATTAAAATCATAGACATTTTTTTTTCCTTGAGTCTAAGTTAACACATGTTTATCAAACTAAATCTCAACAAAAAATTCAGGTTTGTCAAAGATTGTTAATGTAAAAAGATATGTGAAGGAAGTTGGAAATTACTTTATTTTGGCAGACCAGAAATTTCTTTGTAACTGTGAGGGTAAGTGTCAATCATTCCCTTCATTTGAAACAACAATTCCCTGCTTAATGCAGTAAATAATGTTTATTAATGTTCTTTTCTTTACTCTGAGTTGAAGGATTTGCTTGATGTTGTACATATGTATACATTTATAACAGGTTTAAATAGTTAAACAGGAAGTCAAAGGTAAGTTACATAGATACATTTGCGTTTGTGATCCTAAGCAGTTTAACGGCAGCTGAACGTCACTGGCCTTAAAAAATAAAGTACCTGGCAACCAGAGGAAACTGGTGGAAACCAGGGCAGGTGAGGCCTCATGACGATTTCTATCTGACATGTCAGCGTTTGGAGGCTTCAGTCTATACAACAACAGTGACACCCGGTGGCTAATGAAAGCATTGCGCTAAAGATCCTCAGAGATCCAGAACTTGACAAATTCAGAGAATCAAAAAGTTATAAAAATAAATAAAACTGGACATCAGTTATTGTAGCTGAAGGCATTTCGCTCTATTTCCAGGGAGCAAAATCCACAATGAACACATTCAACTCCTCTGAGCAACAAAAGCACAAAGTAGAAGCTTAAAACTACCTAAGTAACAAACTCAAGTCAAAACATTTTTAGGCCAATAAATCAATATCAATATATATTGGGGTATAGTTTGATTCAATAACAGGGATATTAATCTTAACAACTTTTTATTTTCGATTTGATACATATATTGCAGCTTTGCGTATTGGTGGATATCTATATTGAACCAATAAGAAATAAGCATTAATCATACATACTTTTATTACTTATTTCATGGAGTGGAATGATAGAAAAGCCTTGATAAACTGATATATCGCTAACAATACTTAAAGGTATAGGGGAGGATTTTTGTAAATTTTTTAAAAGACCCACCCTCTCCACCAGTGTTGTGCCTGAACGCGTTCACTGAACGAAAGTTCATGAACTCGTTCATATTTCGGGCGAACGTGAACTGAACGTACTGTATTACTGCCAAATGAACGTTATTGTGAACTTGTTCATTCTGGTGTCTGTGAACGGCACCCTATCTCAGTTCAACTTCGTTCAATCGGTTGCCAGATTTCTATAGAGTCCTCCAGGCGAAACCCCGGCTAAATCACACCATAAACAGGCCTTAATATATATAGCGGGAAAAACACCCAATCTGGCAACACCAGCTACCAGTGTCGTAGCCTACAGCCGCGTGCGTCATCAAAACAAAATGCAGCGTTGAAGCCACAGCAGCGTGGAGGCGACTGTGGATGCGACAAAGCAGCAGTATGATCACTTAAAACAGTTTTATGACCAGGTGGCCGGCGAGGATGATGGCAACAATCTTACATTTCTCTGCAAACTTTGCCCGCCGGCTTTCAGTAAAAAAATCCACACTTAAACCTGCCTGGTATAATTTTCCAGGATTCCATATTCCTTTTTAGTATGTACTGAAATGAAATTTCAAATGGAAAAAAATATTAAAATAAAAAAAAAACATTTGCACCTTAAAGACTACTTTCCTATTTTTCTTTTAATAATTACTCAAGTCAAAGTCAAAGTCAAAAGTCAAAAAGCCTTTATTGTCATTATATTCTGTGACAAATACAATGAGATTTGGGACTTCCATAACAGCTACCGTGAAATAAAAATAAAATAAAAATATATAAAAAATATATAGATATATTAAAAGGTAGGAAATGTAAACAGTTACAAAAAATATATATAAAAAAAGACCATAAAAAAAGACCAAAAGACCAAAAAGAAGACCAAAAAGACCAAAAAAAGACCATTCAAGCAGCACATTTTTCCTGATGTTTTTGAGAATATACTGTAGGGGTGAAAGCTGCAGCTGCTACTAGTGTGAAGTGAATGGACAGCAACACAGCGTTTAAGCAACAATGGGGACAGGGGCGGATTTAGGAAATTTGGGGCCCTAGGCAAAGACAGGCAGGGGGCCCTATGAATGTAGTCGCCAAAGTCTCCAGTAGCAGAAAAAAGTTGCTAGATTTGGCACAAGGCCCTTTTTTGAAATTAAAGTGCTAGAGGAGCCTGAAAAGTCACCGCTCTTTGCATAATTTTTTTTCAATTGTTTTGCTGCTGTCCTCTTAGCGAAAGGATTTTTTTTATCAAAAAGATAGTTAAAGTGCACAAGTAAGGAATAACTGTGTTAACCATACATGTTAACAGAGTTTTATGGGGCCCCCAGGAACTTGGGGCCCTAGGCAACTGCCTAGTATTGCCTAATGGTAAATCCCCCCCTGAATGGGGAAATGCTGTCCCCTCAATGCTAATGTACTATGAACTATGAACTATGAACTAGTTCATTTTTTGGAACAGTGAACTTAGTTCAAAATTTTGAATTATGAACTATGAACTGAACTAGTTCATTTTAAAATGTGTGAACTGAACTTTGAACTAGTTCACGTAGAAAGAGAACTTTCCCAACACTGCTCTCCACTTTAAAAGAAAAATTGCACATGCACAACCGTATACCCGCTACTGAGAGGGAACACCTATCAAACACGTGCGAGAGCGTGCACAAGCCCATTTCTCCTCGTGTATGCTCTCTTTAAAAGGTGCTGTTTGCATCACTCATACAAGCTTACTTCCCAAAAGAAGATTTGCAAATTTTCCACTATGTCAGACTTGCATCCGTTAAGTGAAAATGGGGGCGAACACGTAGGAAGGCCTTACGTCAACTTATCACCAGAATGATTGACAATTAGGAGGACCACTTATTTTGATGATCCACCTGGAAAAAGAACGTCCTCCATAATACCTTTAACATCAGGTAATAGAACAACTGACCAATTTCTTATTCACCAAAGAGTTAAAAAAACTTCACAAAAAAGCTGATAGAAGCAAAGTGTTTCAATGGGCTTTATAATATTGGAGGTTAAAGAGACAGGCGGATATATTCTGGTATTTATATTTTGGCTGATATTAGACCGATTTCTAACATCAATATTGGAACCAGAATTGGGACATCCCTAAAACAGCTTATGTTCTACACTGAAGTTCATAGCAGCAGATTCAAGCTTTACAAAAAGAGATGCAGCAGATCGCAGAGAACCAATAACAAGGAGTCTATGGCTGCAGCTGCATGAAACAATTAACCGGATTAAAGCTACAGTGTGTAATAATTTCAGGGATATACAGTCAGAAATGTAATATATTATACATAACTATGTTATTTATCATCATCTACGAGCTCAGCCTTTTAACCTTAATATTTGCGTTGCCTTAGAATTCGTTATTTATAATTACATAGGAGCGGGTCTCGCAGCCATGGAGGCAGACATCTTTGCGCTACGGCAGCGCAGAGCCAACAAACTAGTGATTGCGAGATCGCCAAAACGTCACAACGATGTAGAAAAAATAATGGGTATATTTATTATCTTAAGTCTACATGAAATCTATACCCTACACAGACTAATGAAATACTATCTGTAAAATTATCTATGTAAACAAACCTCATCACTTGAGAAGGTAGGTGATGCGGACGTCGTGGAAGATATTTTGTCCCGTAACGCTCGCCGTACTGTTGGGGGGGAGAAGCGGTGGGGGGGAGATGTTCATGTTGCTGAAGTCGCAGTCTGACCGCTAGATGTCGTTAAAAGTTACACACTGTAGCTTTAATTGATTATTGAAATAATCATCAACAATTTTAGTAATCGATTAATCATCAACTGAAATATATTGACTCTAAACCATACCTATAGCTGAAAGAGCAACCCGTTTAGAGAAGAAATTATACCAAGATTGTTAAAAAATCTATATGTATATATAAACATTTTGCATTTAAGATTGAAAAAAACTTTTTCATCTGCCAGTATGCCCAATACATGTGGAAACATTTTAGTTTCACCTTGTTTAAATTTTATAAAAAGTCTTAAGGAACCCTCGGCTATCTGATTATAAATCGATAAAACAAACAAATAATGGACAGATTAATTGATTTGCAAAATAATCCTTAGTTGTAGCCCTAGTAAAATTTATTTAGTCTGGACTGAGCTCTACCTCGCTGTAATGAAGGTTTATTTTGATGTTAGGATGCAGAGGTCACAGAGGTCAAAAATTGGGAAGCTGTGGCATGAGTGAGAGAGATGAGAAGAAAATTCTAGCACGATTAATAAAAACAATAACAAAAACTTCAGGGACAGTTTCTTTCCACAAACTATTACTCTAATGCAGAGCTTAAGGCCGGGCCGCACCGGCTGAGTATAGACACTCCGACCAGAAGACCTCCACCAAAGACCGACTTAATGAGTCTGTGCAGCATCTCAAACCAGAACAGAGAGAATTTTTAAAGGCCTATATTAAAAAAATAATTGGAACTACCTTTAAAGAACAGGAAAATTCAGCAATAATAGCTGTGGGGCCGTTTATATGCTGACTGCGGCAGAGAGGTGATTCTCAGAGAGAGATCTGAGAGTTTTGTCAGTTTTCTGTTTTTTTTTAATAGTGTGGCGAATGATGAGCTTCACTTACCTGCTCTATCTGCCCTTCGTTATTTTGTTTTTTTGAGCCTCAAAAAGGATTACTATTTTACTATATCCAATTTTTTCTCCTCCTGAAGTTATTTTTTTCGAGGAGATTGATAAACTGCGCTTTCTGCCCCTTACTGCTTTTACATGGCTCGAAGAGCATCACTTCTTTATCCATTTTATCTCGTGAGTAAAATATTCATAGTTCAATTGATTGATTTTTTACAAGTTTGTCCCACTTGCCTTAAAAGCAATATGCAACTCCAAAACTGACTGTTTCCCCTTGCAATTAACAGATTCTGTATTTCCCCTCAAATCGGATGCGTTACACTTTGTAACAGTGTCTCTCTTCCTGTCAGACCCATGAAATCTCTGCTGAATTGCTACGTAGTCAGACTAAAGCAGAGAAGGGGTCTATCTCAGTTGGAGCTACGCCACCCCTCTTGCAGAAAATCATGTTGAGTGTGATCATCCCCATTAACTTTCAATGAGCGCTAAATGCTACAATCTCATTCAACACCATTTTCTGTCGGATCGCTCGCAAAATCGGATTCGGTGTGTTCTGGCCTCTACTCTCAGAGTCAGAAACCCCTGTACCTAGTACTGCTACATTTATCCAGCCCGTTTACTGGTTACCACTTATAAAATTTCTAATAATTTACTCCAGCATCCTTAGCTCATTGCACTACTGCGCTGTTGTTTTAATCTTTTTTCTTTATAGAATGCATATCTGCACATGTGAGTGGAGCGTGGAGCAAGCAGTGGAGCTGAGCGGAAGAACTATGGTGGAGCACAGAGCGGTTTTTAATTCAAAGTCTTGAGCGAGGAATTCACTCCGCTCCAGTTCGCTCCGATGTCCTCACAACTTCAATTAAAAATGTTAGGATTATAAAATTTGTAAAATAACATTTATTGGATTTAAGTCTGGTAAAATAAGTTAATAATTAAATAGGAAATGAGGGGCAACATGAATGGAGCGAGGCGTTACTTTGACAGCTTGGAAATTGTACGGTAATTTAACAGCCAGTTAAATAAGACAATACACGTGTATTGGTCACATCATTAAATCAAACGCCGTGTGTCCCGGGGCCCAGGCATAATTACATGAAGGAAAAATTTCAGAAAATGTCTTCTCCTGAAAATATGAGCGAGCGTGGAGCGATGCTGCAGGAGGGGCAGGAAAATTAAGGTGAGCGCGGAGTGGATTTTGAGCAGAGTCCTGGCGCAATTTTGAGCGTCGGAGCGAACTTCCTCCTGAGCGGGGAGCGGGAATTGCACGGTGCTCCACTCCCTTCACATGCTCTGATGCATATGCAAAATTTTTATTGCTGTGTCACTGTGGTATTCCTAAATCAAGTCAAATTCCTCATACATGACTGATAAAGCTGATTTGTAAATTCTGGCCCGTCTGATGTTAATATATAGCCTGGGTGCCATTCCGAACTTAGTCCCGCCCACAACGTTTGAGGTCGGGAAGTTCGGTCTGGCATTGCTCAGTAGTAGCGCGAGTATGCTTGCACAATATCTGTCGGGCCAATCAAATTGTCAGGGCGGGCTTTATACAATGATGGACAGATGATCAACAGTAACGTAATCAACCACGTCACCCAAGCGCGCTTGGGTGACAACAACAATGGCTGCCGCTGGAGAGTTGAGGTGAGTAGATTCTGCTATTAGGTCTGTTCTAGAAGATATCGACAGCAAATTAATTTAACAAGAGGAACAGAGAAACGCGATCAAGGCTCATCTTCTTATTCTAGGCGTGCAACTGTATGCTTTGATTTTTGTTGACAACAACTATGCGTCGCTTAACATACGTCACGCACTCCGTTGCTCTTATTGGTTGTAGGTCTATCCAATTGAGTGCAGAGGCATTTTTTTTCCTGGTTCGTTCAAAACACGCCCCATAATCACAGCTCTATGGAGCAGTATCAGACTCATATTCTGACTAGAATTGAGTAGGACTACGTCAGGCTAGTTAATATAGTCAATAGAAAGGTTATCAAAAATTTTACACAAATTAATCTAGATAATGTGTTTTGTAATCATAATGACAAAAAAAACATACTGTTCTCCTCTTGGTGAAGGCGGGATCACTGTCTCATTCTCTTCATCAGCTTCTAAGCTGGATCTGAAAAAAAAAAGCCAAATTAGTTTTAATTAAGCAACATCACTCATGCACAAAAAACAATCACTGATGGAGAAGGTCAGATATTTCAAGGAACTTACGTCATAGGATTAGATGTTGGGAGATAATGGATCAGGTCCCTCATTGTCATCTTTGTTGGATCTAAGCTGAATTCCTTACCACGGGCTTTAGCTCTCTTAAGATTCTGTAAGATAAAGAAACGCAATGTCTTGTGTTCACATCCAATAATAGCAACATCTTCTTTATCAAACAAACATTTTAAAGCTTTGAATAATCCCAGCTAACCTTTTCTTTGGACCGCTCTTGTCTCAGCAGGTCTCTCAGCTTCTGGGCCTTTATCATCCTCTGCACATCTGACGGGTCATTCAGGAGTCTGCTCAGAGACAGCGCTGAAGGGGATATTGCTGAAACTACCTTTTTTGATGATATAAGAGTCTTGGCTTTCTCTGATATTTCTGTAGCTTCTTTGTCTGGTAGAGAAGGTGGTACCCTATCATGCACTCTGGGATGAACATCCTTCGTTTGACTAGTTGGAACGTTTTCCACATGTTTACTGCCGTCTTTCAGCAGATGGGTTTGTTTTTTAGAGTCCTCTGATGGAGAAACAGCTGATGGTCCCGGTATCTCAGACGACAACGGGGTGAGCTTTGATTGTGTTTTGTGCTGCTTGGCATCATCAGAGAGTCCTCTGCTCTTTGGGGACTGAAGTCCTGGGGGGGCTGGAGTTTTTGTAGGTTGACTAGATGTCGTTGGCTTTTCTGGTTCAGACTCAGACGCTGCATCTACAGGGGGGACAGAGACTGTTTTCACTGGGGATTTTGTTGTCCGAGGGAGGGTTGGTGGACGACCAGGAGCCACTTTGGGCTTGATGGAGAACCGCTTCCTTCTCTGGACTGATGCTGAGGAGCTGGTACCTTCCCCATTCTGTTCATTGGCATCTCTGAAACAGTTATTTTTAAAGTTAGTTTTGTAATCCAACATAAAAGCAAAACCAATTCAAAATTCTTAAGTCTACTATCACACTCACCCGGAACCAGAAGCATTTTCTGATGGGGTCACCACTGGTTCGTTTGTTAGAGAAGCATTATTGTCCTCCTTTGGTTCCTTTTGGGTCTCATTTGTGTCCTGGTTTGCTGCTGGGGGCCCCTGAGGTGTTCCAGCTGCTGCTGCTGCTCTCCCAGCTATGCCGATATTGGGGCGAGCACTGAATCTTGACCGTCGAAACATCTTAACCTAAAAATATTAGAAAGCAATAGAAATTAAAAAAGAAATCTGATTAAAAATGCAATCCAATTAATGCAGATATAGACATAAGTTACTGAATAACTTAACAACAAAATCTTAGATTTGTTAAAAACAAGTTTTAGGCAAACATTTACAAAGTAATTTGCTTTTAAAACAATCTGAAAACTTAATTTGAAAAAACTTGAAATGCTTTATGTCCTACCACAAAGTGACGTCCTTAGGAGGGATATACCAAGTCCAAAGTCACATGTTCATCAGTTTTAGTACCTGATGAGAAAATAAAACATAAAGCAGTCAAATGTCAGGGTAACTTTAGTATGGACATAGTCAGCTACCGGGCTCAGAAAGTATTTCATCATGTATCACCAAAATAGTACATTAAACAACCACAAGATTATACATTTTTTATCAGCATTGACAAATACGTTTTAGTTTGTTTACAAAAGTTAATTTGACAACTTCTGTATCTATTAATACAAAAAGGCTTCAAAAGTGCACAGACTGCCTTGAAAAGACTTCATACTCCTTGAAGTTTTTTTTGTTGACTTTCTGTCGCAATACATCTCAGAACATTGCATCCCACCGATCCCCAAGGGGATGGGTTAAATGCAGAGTTAATTTTGTTGCTCTGTACTTGTTACAGATTAATGACGATAAAAAACACAGGAAAAACCAATCGAAGAAATAATTTTGTCGTTTGCCCCAACGAACAAACTCAGCAGTTTTAATCATTGACCTGTTGTGAACCTTTGCTAGATGGTATTAGAAGTTGTTTCTTAACTTCCCTAGATTGATATGTCTACAAGGTTCCTGCTCTCCACTGGACCTGAACACACGACCTGGGAGGGATGATGGTAAATTAAAAATATTCCTAAAGTAAGATTCTGCCAACTTTTGGCTGATGTTAGCACTTTCTCTAGTGTTGGCATCAACATTGCCGGCCATTCCCTTTGCTATCAATTGTTGATATGTTTTGTGTTGAGAAGTGGGTACTTTTTGGTTATCATTGTGTCACATGTATCATGTAAATAAAAAAAAAAGAAAAAGAAACATAAAATTAAAGAACTGACAGCATGTTTTAGGGATGTCAAAATAATCAGGATTGGCATCGGCCTTAAAAGTTGTATCAGCAATTTTTAAAGCCAATGCTTTTAGCTTGCCAGGAGTAAGTATCCTGCTGTGATGAGGTTTTTCCTCTGCAGTGAAGATACAGCTGAATATTGATGCTAAACATATGGCCAGAGATACAGTAGTATGGTTTCATTTAACACATTTTCAGGTAGTACAATGTCCTAATCAAAGCCCAAACTAAAGTATATTTGAGAAGACAAAAAAATAAAAAGGTTTGACCATCATTTTCTACCAAATTTTACACTGAATTTATACAAATTTCCCAAACTAAGAAGTGTAAGATCTCAGTTTAGACAAAAAGACTAAACGAAATGTATTTGTATATTTCAAGAAGTATTTTTCCGTTCCATTTGACCTCAAAACCATGCACTACTTTTTTTTTTTAAGTTTTAATGAAACAAAAAGTGCAAATCAACTCATTAGGGTGTGATATAGCCACCAACTATTTCAATATTGAGCTCAATGTGTAGTCTGGTGCAGTAAGACTGAGGAAAAAGTTAAAACAGAGGAGATTATATTGCTGCAACTTATATAGTATTTTAGCATTGTTCTTTATTATTAAGGGTGGTTGCATTATAAAGGCAAAAAAGCTAATAATGCTGCTACAAAAACGTTTATTTTTCACCATTATCCTACAAATATTAAAAAATATTGTGCTATGTACTGCTTCCCTGCTAAAGCTCAACTGTGAAACTGTCAACGCTAGCGACATTAGATTATTTAGGATTAATATAAACATAAAAACACTAAATAATTATCGGCCACACCTTAATATGAGCGCGACTATCACATAATGCACCAAAACAAAGCGCACTTTTTAAATCCAGTAAAAAGGCTGAGCTCACGCACAATAACAACACGACGCCTGCCTGAGTTACAGCCTCGCGCTACGAAAGTCATGCGGCTCAACAACTGTAACAATATTAATGAGAATATATCAGCTAGTTTGTAGCAACATACCTGTTGAAGAAATTCTATATTCTTCGCTATACAAGTCACAATTTAACTCCCAAAACAGGAATGGGTAGCGGACCCGTGTGGTTAGAAATCCGCCATGTTTTTTTGTTTGATGACGCAATTTCTTGAAAGGATTTGTGGGAAACGCAGTCTCGAAATACAAAAATGAAAATACAAAACCTAGTTGTTTCCTTAATGGCATTGGCAAAACTCTGACGTAGTTATAAATAAATAAATAAATAAAATGTCAACAGTAGTTAAATTATACAATAGGAAATAAGTTTATAAATGTATTTTAATTTGCTTATTTATTGATTCATCTTTATCGTAGTTACCTTATATATTTAATGTCATTATTGTTTTCGGATCTTTTATTCAATTGTTTGCTTTTAGATGCACTGGTGTCAAAAGTACACACATTTGTTACTTAAGTAGAAGTATAGATACTGCAGTTTAAAAACACTCGAAGTAGTGAAGTATCAACTTGACCTCTTTACTCAAGTAAAAGTAAAAAACTATGTTCTTCAAAAACTACTTTAAGTATAAAAGTGTAAAGTAACCTTTAAAAAAAAACAGCCAGATGCCACTATATGAACTGAAAGCTCAATTTTTCGACTATTTCGAAAAAATTCTTTGAGATAGGGCCAAGGATGAGGGAGGTTTTGTTGGTCTCCATCTCCCGATACGCTCTCGCCTGTGTCCGACCTTTCAGACATTTCAACATCTTTTTCTGAATCCAACATTGTAGCATGGCATAGACAATTCTCGTTTGCAATTTGAAGAACACCTGCTTGCTTCTGATGATTTCCTTTAGCTAACCAATGAGTGTTTGCGTTATATGACTCATCCAGTTACACTAGTTTTCACTAGATGTGGATGGTGACAATGATCTGCAGTGGATGGCAAACATGACGTGAAATAAATATTTATAAACATAAAACCGAAGTCAAAAGTAACGAGTAACGTTTAGTTTAAAAATGTAAGGAATAGAAAGTACAGATACTTGTATAAAAATGTAATGAGTAGAAGTCAGAAGTAGGAAGAAAAATAAGTAATTTCGTAAAGTATAGATACCTAAAAAGTGTACTTAGGTACAGTAGCAAAGTATTTGTACTTTGTTACTTGACACCTCTGTTTAGATGTAATTATTCTATTTTTTCTGTCTATTGTTTACCCTGTTTATTTCTTTCACCCTATTTATTTATTTCTATCCCTTTTCCATTTCTGTTTGTATCTCTGCCTCATTCTGCAAATGAGGAGGCGATGGTCTTAAGGAGACAGTTTCTGCTTCTGTTGGTTTGACTGCGTAGAACCTACATGCTACCAGACCAGGTACAGTCATATCAGAAATACACCATCATCACAGTTGAGTTAATAGGCTACAAGACAAGATAAAGCTTATTGTTCTCCTGTGGTGTCATATGCTGTATATATGGTTGCCCAAAATGAGGTGTAATGATTATCCCAATGTTGAATCCTATCAAAATTAATGCCAAGTTCATAACAAGAACACAGCTCTCTGGTCGTGTCATAACAGAATATAAACAGGGCAAAGGATGACATAACCAACCTACTGCTTTAAATAGTTAAAACAAAAGTTACAGACCAGTAGGAAGCTGTAAGACAACAGTGCTGCAAAATTTGCCACCATGAAACCAATTTGGTAGTCCCATATATGTAAAACTCAAAAACTGTCACAAAACTAACTTTTGTTGTTTTATCAGTTTTTTAGAAAGTCCTTGAGTTATTGTGCCTTTGAAGGTCCTAAGAGCCACTGTTGCTCTTCAGTACAGGTTTTAGCAGAGGCCGGTAGTAACTAGTTACATTTACAGTGTTGCATTTACTTGAGTAACTTTTAGGAACAGAAAATGTACTTTTAAGAGTAGTTTTACAACATTGAAGGATATTTTATGATAGAGTATCATTAGCCTTAATTAAGTTACATAAGTAACATTAGACAACGAGTATCAATACTTTACTCAAGTACTACTGTTGAGTACTTCGTCCCCCACTGGACATATACAGTGGAGATTATTTTACTCCAGAGGTCTGAATAGGTGTGTACATGGATGTAAAACTGAATAACGATTGAGAAAAAAAACACCTCTCTCATTCGGATTGAGATTTCTTTCTAAATTCAGAATTATTGCACAATATCTAAAGTAAAAACACTTAGAAAGCGGACAGTAAGCTTTAGAACTCGCTCCTTTGCCTCATTAAATGCAGCTTTGACTGAACTCACCTTTAGGTGAGCATGAAACTATTTTATTGCACAAAAAACGTGCTTTGTTTTTCGCGAATTAGCTGCAATTAGCAAGTTTTCCAGTGGTTCTCACGCACGCGCGCGTGCACACGCTCACCCGCTGCTATGGAAACGGAGCACCTGTAAAAGTGGCAGCCATCTTTAACGGATCATTTCTAACCTGGACCTGGAAGCTTGAACTGCTGCAGTCTGTGATTTGCTAAACTGTTAAAGATGAGCACGCCACCAGAGGACAACAACTTGTGGGGAGATCCATAGATATCCATAATAAAGGCTAGATGTCTTACGGCGGAGTCTCAAACGTCATCACCGGCGGCCATCTTGCCTCAGGCAGGCTTTCTGTTGGGCTCTGTGGTACCTAATGTAAGGTGAGTGATCAGCACGAACACAAATACTCTTACCTCACTGAATTCTTGACGGATTTACAAACAGTTTGGTTTCTTACAAACATTATGAGCGTGGCTATTATTCTTGATGCTTGAACATGTCGAAATTGCAGATTTTCTTGTCGAAAAATGACTTAATCGCGCAGCATAGTTGTGCATCACGGCTACTTGCGCAAGTTATCAAGGCTGAGACTATTGGTCAATTATATAGGTTTTACTGACACCAATAACAATTGTATGACAATTAATCTTTGGTGTAAATTACAATCTTTGTGGATGTGGTTGTAGTTATTAGTTGGCTAACAACAATAATCTGAGTGTTGTTGTATTTTCATTATTAGCCTAACGTTAGCTGGCTAATAACAAGAAGCTGCAAAGTGAGACCTAACGTTAGTAAGTTAGCAGCTAACGTTACAGTTTAGCTAGCTGCTAACGTTAACCAGCAACTTTACCTCAATGGAAGAGGCAGAATTTAACATGATTTCCAATCGATTTGGTTTGTCAAAACATCTTACATTATGTTACAGGAATTTGCTGAGTTTATTAAAAGGAAGATGCCAGACTTTTGCTATGACATAATAGTATTACAAGATTGTTGTTGACTCAAACCTTTTATAAGTTTGTATTAGTTTCATTTGGACAACTTAAAGATGGTGTTGTGCCAAACATTTTCAACTTTCCAGCTCATCTTCAAAGGGCATGTGTATCATTGAAATTTAATCACATATTGATATACCAATCTTATACACCGTGAATTGTTGTTGGTCACTTTTGTTTTTGTTTCTGCAGGTTATATAATGTGTAAGCAGGAGGAGAAGATCTTCCATCCCCGTTTGCTGACATTCCTGCGCTAGTACATGACCACAGCTACCTTCCTGTCCGCTTTGATGGCCTTGTGGACAACACTCTCTTGTACATTATACAGAAGCTCAATAAAACCTTCCTTTTCAAAGGGCATTAGCCAAGCTATGTTTTTTGGGTAATTTTTTAAATCTCTGTCTTCCATGTGTATACCATCACAGTAGTGTAGGTGGGGATTTCAACATGCTACATCTATATATACTTGTGAAGGGGACTATTGTACCAATTTTAATAGCAAATAAATGTCACTTTTATAATGGTTTAAAAATAGGAACTTTTGTGTAATTACCCCTGATATATAATCCGAATAGTCTACATGAAACTTCAAAGTGTTACCTTTAATTTGAAACCTGGATTATGCTTCTACACCAAGAGGTTGCCACACAATAAGCCTTTTTTGTCAGTATTTCATATTTTATTATAACAATAATATTCATATTATAAAAGTATGTATGTAAATATAAATAAATTAGGACGGTGAAATAATTAATCACACCCAAATAAAAGTGTTTATTTATATATATATGTATATATATATATACATATATATATAAATATGTATATATATATATATATATATATATATATATATATATATATATATATATACATATTAAAATATATATAAATATGTATATATATATATTTATATATATATATATGTACATATTTATATATATATATATATATACATATTTATATGTATATATATATATACATATTAAAATATATATATATATATATATATATATATATATATATATATATATATATAAATATGTATATATACATATTTATATATATATACATATTTTTATATATATATATATAAATATGTATATATACATATTTATATATATATATTTATTTATATATATATATATATATACATATTTTTATATATATATATACATATATATAGGTATCTATATCTATATAGATAGATATCTATATAGATTTAGATATCTATAGATATATCTATATATCATGTTGCCATTCAGTACACTGAGTTTTAATAGCATATATTGATTTAACATAAATACCTTGTGCATGTGTATATTTATTGCACCTGTATGTTCTATTCAATGTTCTTTTCATATGAAATTCCATGGTTATAATTATTCATAAGTGTGCAGTGTCATAACTACATGTCTGACTTTTTTTTAACAAACCAAACAGTTAGACAATTGAGGAAGTTATGGTTATTTAAGTACATGCGCCTTTAAAACACAATGTTACGAATGAGCGAGCGGCCTGTGGCAAGATGGCCGCCACGTGCGGACGTCGACCTCCATTGGCCAGCAGCGCGGACGAGACATCTAGCCTTTATTATGGATATCTATGGGGAGATCATCTGGAAGGTTTGTTTCACTCTTTTACTATATAAATAAAAATATATATATTGAAAAATTATTATTTTAATGTTTTTTCATGAAGTTGTGACAGCTAGCTTAGCATCTAGCATCCATGACATCTCAGAGATTAAATGTGTTTTTTTAATGAATTTGTCAGAAATGTTAACAGCGATTTAATTATTTGAAAAAAACAAAAACATTTGTGTTTCAGAAAAACATCTTTGTTGAATTTTATGTGAAATGTTTGAAAACTAGATGGAGCTAGGTCTATTATTTTTAAAAAATGCCCTGGAAATAAATTTGCTCTGTATGGAAATGTTGGTAAAAATACATTAAATAAATATAAAAGGACATTAGAAGGACATTTAACATAAAATATAATCAAGCCAAACTGTTTATTTTCCTATTTAATAAAAGAAAAAGAGTATTTTGGAAGTTAACTGAATTTTAACTAAAAGAGAAAAAGAATCTCAAGTTGTTTAGTTTAGTAAATGTGTTTAGGAAATGATATGTTTTTAACCAGTGTTTTAAAAAAAAGTTTTTTTTAAGGCGTACTATGTATTCGATTACTTTTTATTGGTTGGAAATGGGAGGAATGCAATGTAAAACACAGACAAAGTTTGGTTTGAGAGAATAAACTTTGATTAATTTAATGTGAAAATGGTTGAAAAAATACAAAAAAATATTTCAGGATAAAATTGATTTTTTTTTAAATATATTTGAACTTGAAAAGGAAGGTCTTTTTTAAACCATGCTGTGGTAAACAAATTGGTATAATTAAGATAGCATATATTTTTAACTTTAAAGGATGGTCAAAGGTGTTAAAGTATGGTTGATTTTAAAAGTTTTTTTATTTTTAATCTAGGATGCACTGAAGAGGGGGTCTGATAAGCTGAGAATCTGGTTCTGAGAAATTATAGATTTGAAATTTAAACCTTGATGTTATCAAGCCTTTATTTCTGTTACGGTAATTAGGATAATTTTCTGCTTATAGTAAAATAACTTCAAAGATTGATGATTATGTTACCAAATCAGCCAATGACACTTTTTTTTTTCTTATAAAGAAATTTATCTTATAGATGGAAACTATTTCTAATTTGGTAGTATGTGTTTAATGAAAACAATTTTTAATGACAGCTTAAAATGTCCTTTAATCTTAATTTATCTTAAAGCTACAGTGTGTAATAATTTCAGGGATATACAGTCAGAAATGTAATATATTATACATAACTATGTTATTTATCATCATCTACGAGCTCAGCCTCTTAACCTTAATATTTGCGTTGCCTTAGAATTCGTTATTTCTAATTACATAGGAGCGGGTCTCGCAGCCATGGAGGCAGACATCTTTGCGCTACGGCAGCCCAGAGACAACAAACTAGCGATTGAGAGATCGCCCATTACGCTCGAAAGTAACTACGGCAAGTTGAGAGAGATGAACTGAGACGGTACTGAACAATAGATAGCAGTATTATGCCTGAGAATACTATCTGTAAAATTATCTATGTAAACAAACCTCATCACTTGAGAAGGTAGGTGATGCAGACGTTGTGGAAGACATTTTGTCCCGTAACGCTCGCCGTACTGTTGGGGGGGGGGAGAAGCGGTGGGGGGGAGATGTTCATGTTGCTGCGGTCTGCAGTCTGGACGTTAGATGTTGCTGAAAATTACACACTGTAGCTTAAATGTCTTAGTTCCCAATGTGGGGGTGTGTGCCCCCTAGTGGGAGCACAGTTTAATTGCAGGGGATGTGGTAGAAATAAACTAAATAAATGGCCCATTTAGAGCTAATTATTATTTTTGTATTTATAAATTTCTGAAATTAAAATGTTAAGCTCTATTTAACAGTGAAATGAACATTTACTGGTAGATATAAAATAAACTTACAATTTCATGGTAGTCTTGTGATTTAAAGGATATTGTAGGTTTTTTTTCTTAGTCAACAGCAAAATAGCTGGTGAGGACCAGCAAAATGTCCAAAATGTACAACAATCAGTCCTCAATGTGATGGTGAAGCCAGAAAAATGGTCCTCAGGCTGGTGCAGAGACAGGAGAACACAATTATATACACATTTGTCTTATATATAAACGTTTGTCTCAATGTATTTTTGTATGTATAGGATCTTTTACAGTATTATTTTTTATCTTAACACTAACCAAACCACTAGCATTGTTTATGTTTTTTTATTGAGTTGTTTTAGCTCACAGATTGATGTTCTTATAGATTAAATCTACTTAAACCTGACAAACTAACACAGGCACATCCAGCAACCTAAAATAAAGCCTTTATTTCTTTTCAATGAATGTTCCTTAATTAATGTTCCTGGTCCAACGATTTTTTTCCTAACAGTTCCAGACGCCGCGCTTCCAGTTGATCCTGACCCGGAGCCTCAGCTCTTGATAGAGGATGAGGGTAATTTAAATCAGTCTAATATCATTGACAATGCGGATGATAATGAGGAGGTGGAAGTCAGAGAACTAGTGGTGAATATAGAGTATGATGGGGAAAACAGTCACCACGTAGCCATAGAGTTTGTGCTGGAGCATGGCGAGGAGGTAGACCTCGTAGTCGTAGAGTTGGGGCTAAGTCGTAGAGACTTAGAAGCAATACTGGCGGAGCAGAATGAAGAGGAGGAGGTTGATGCTTATGCTGATAATGTTAGGGCAAGTTTTGCTGAGTCTCCTGACACAAGCTCTGAGGAAGAAAATCATGATGAAGACGATGGCCACCTTTCACCACATCTTCAGTTCACCCAGAGGATTCCCCCCGACTTCAGCCTTCCATCGGACCACGAGGAGCCAGAGGAGTCCCTGGAGCGCCCAGAAGACCGCGTCTCCAGGAAGAGGAGAAGAGAGGAAGACGCTGAAGATGAAGAAGATCACGATGAAGACGATGGCCACCTTCCACCACATCTTCAGTTCACCCAGAGGATTCCCCCCGACTTCAGCCTTCCATGGAACCACGAGGAGCCAGAGGAGTCCCTGGAGCGCCCAGAAGACCGCGTCTCCAGGAAGAGGAGAAGAGAGGAAGACGATGAAGAGGAGCGCCCTGGAAAGAGGCCTCGTCGTGAGAGTGATGTTTAAGAAGAGGAGTTTCAAATGGATATAATTTATTGATTGTTTTCATATCTGGCAGGTCTAGGGATGCCTTAGGTAGCGTCTTGCACCGTGGCTTTTCCCGCTGCTAAATAGTTTAGATGTTAAGAATTTTTTTTAGCACAGACATCTGAGGACATGACAACATAGTTTGGTACATGATAGCTGGTTAAGGCAGAAATAATCTAGAATGTTCTACATCTAATATCAAAGCTGGACAGTCTGACAGTTAACAGAAGACAACACAAACAAAGGATTGATAGAAGAACAAGAAGAATGTTCAACAAGGTGAAACACAGAGTGGAGGCAAGTTAACAAAAAACAAATAAAAACACCAGAAGACAAAAAATTAATCCTGGTTGAAAACCACAAGGAGGCAAACCAATCCAACGAAACAGCTGGACATCGCTGCTGAGGACAACGTGGAGTTGAGTTGAGGCAGAGAGAAAAGGCTGTAGTGGAGGTTGATTAGAAGCTGTCTAGAGCAGAGGTTTCTCACTCCAGTCCTTTACAGCAGTGTTTCTGCAGTTTTCAGATGCATCTCTCCTCCAACACACCAGGATCAAACAAACAGCCTTTTACCAGACCTCTGCAGAGCTGAATGACTGATGAGGGAATTCAGCTCTTTGATTCGGGTCTGATGGAGAAGAGATGTGAATAAAAACTGCAGCATAGCAGCTCTGGTGGAGTGAAGTTTGAAAGCCTGATCTAGAGTAGAACGATGCTGCTGGGGACAAACTGGATACAATGGACAGTGACACAGCTTGTGGTGATCATCAGTTGAACTGGTCTCTGGGATGTTGGTGAGAAGGTAGAGAGATGACGCTAGGTGGGGCTAACTGATTTAGTCAAGTTTGAGGCAGAGGACAGGACTCATGTAGTGGTTTTGGTTGTGAGTGGCACCGACTGTTAGAAACAGCTTTCCGATGTGACTTGGTCTAGTTCTAGATGTTCCTCTGGTCAGTTAGTTTTCAGGCCTAGTTGGAGGGAAAAGAACCCTCTGCAGAAATATTCTCCATATGATCAAGGCCTGTCCTGACCGCAGTGGATCTCTTCTGTGTTTTTTGAATCCCATGTTGGACCGAGCCTCTCCAAGCTTTGGGCCATCAGAAGATGCTGATGAGATCTGCAGCGACCAAACCAGCGGAGGATCATCTGAGCTGCCGACCTTCACAAAGAGTGAGAGCATATTCAGTAAGGAGCAACAATAATCCATCATTTAATTATAAAGTCAACATTTCAGATGGCCTCACTTAGTTTTTCATGTTAATTTCAGACACTGCGGACGTCCAAAAGCAGAACTCCTGTGAGGAACCGGGACATCCAGGATGGTGAGGAGCTTCCCAGTCCCCACCTGAGGACGGCACAGAGAAAGACTGGAACAGAAAACACACGGAGTAAGACTTTATTAACACGACAAACCCACAACTCAAGCTCCCCAGGCCTGATCAAAAGCTAACAGTCATTGAAACACAGACAGACTAAGATTATGATGAAAACAACATCCTGCCCCAGATTTCAACTTGGTGTCGAGGAAATTCTGTAGATTAATTTGTCTTATTTTTTTTACAGGGAAAGCAGGTTGAACATGGAAGCAGTGTTCTAGCAGTCGGATCACATCGGAACAGAGTCCATCCACACGTGTTTGGAGGTATGTTGCTTGTTGTTTGACTAGAGAGACATCACATGCAGACAGACTCTGAGGACACTTTGCTTTCATTGATGAAGGAGCTGAAGAAGAGGATGAAGCACACAGACCGCTAAGGAGGAGAGACATGGCTCCTATATTTCTCTTTAACATTCTGGAGTCCTGGAGTAAAACAACGTTGACGACCCTGCAGCTAAACCATCAGTCTGCTACACCCAGTAGAAGAAGGTAACGAACCTTTATTGCATCCAGATGTTCATCAGTATTAGTGAAGATACTAAAAACAGATCCAGAACAAGCAGATACAAATGTTACAACCATCCCATTTGGGGTTGTAACTTTTAATCTTTATCTTTCCATCATGAATGGATGTTCACCTCTATTTGTCTCTCTGTAACCAAACCTTTACCAGAATCAGAAGTTCTGACTTTTCCATTAGACCACAGATAAACAGTTACTGTAAGAAGCAGCTTCTGATCCAATATGGAAGAATTTCCCCCTGGTTGATCTCTGTAGGGTTTTTTTTTTAGAACGTATTAAAGCAGAGAAACGACAGACTGAAGATTTGAAGCATTTCCAGGCATTTTCTCCAAGCATCCATGGTCTTCAGTTATTACGTCTGTTAAAGGGGAACGCCGTTTTTTTCAAGTGGCCCCTTGATTTTCTGGTTCTGGTTCTGAGAAATTATAGATCTGAAATTTAAACCTTGATGTTATCAAGCCTTTATTTCTGTTAATTAGGATAATTTTCTGCTTATAGTGAATAAACTTCAAAGATTGATGATTATGTTACCAAATCAGCCAATGAAACCTTATTTTTTCCGATAAAGAAATATATCTCATAGATTGAAACTATTTCTAATTTGGTTGTCAGTAATATTTTTTACTGACAGCTTAAAATGTCTTTTAATCTGAACTAAACCTAATGTCATAGTTCCCAAAGTGGGGGTGTGTGCCCCCTAGTGGGAGCACAGTTTAATTGCAGGGGATGTGGTAGAATTAAAGGAGAAGTTCACTTTTTAACACTTTAAGCCCATTTTCTGTAGTGTCCAGGATGAAATCGAATGATCGACACCAAAATTTTGACAATTTGTCCTGTCTCTGCTTTTTGGCTCATGCAGAATCACCCCCTGGCTGCTTCAGAATGGCTTCCCTAGTGCATGTCCGATAATGTCCTTAAAACAACCTTAAACGTTCTTTTTTTTAAATATGCTACTCACCGGGTCGTCAGCGCTGTTCATTGACGTTCCAAAAAAGGTTTCGTAAAGAAAAAACGTTCCTGTAGTGTTTTATTTAGCATTTTGTAAATCCCATTGAGTTCTGTAGGAATAGTCAATATTCCCCTGCCACCGGAAACGGAAATGGGGCCTGTTTACACAGTTGTAGTCTTTTCGCTTCACTCTGTGTACTCCGACGTCGAGGTGCTAACGTCTCTGTTAAACACTTTAAAAAACTCTGAAAATGGAATACGAAAGGTGGATTCTTGATTCTCGACGTCGGAGTACACAGAGTGAAGCGAAAAGACTACAACTGTGTAAACAGGCCCCATTTCCGTTTCCGGTGGCAGGGGAATATTGACTATTCCTACAGAACTCAATGGGATTTACAAAATGCTAAATAAAACACTACAGGAACGTTTTTTCTTTACGAAACTTTTTTTGGAACGTCAATGAACAGCGCTGACGACCCGGTGAGTAGCATATTTAAAAAAAAGAACGTTTAAGGTTGTTTTAAGGACATTATCGGACATGCACTAGGGAAGCCATTCTGAAGCAGCCAGGGGTGGATTCTAAATGAGCCAAAAAGCAGAGACAGGAGCAATTGTCAAAATTTTGGTGTCGATCATTCGATTTCATCCTGGACACTACAGAAAATGGGCTTAAAGTGTTAAAAAGTGAACTTCTCCTTTAACTAAATAAAAGGACCATTTAGAGCTAGTTATTTTTTGTATTGATAACTTTCTGAAAATAAAATTCTAAGCCCTATTTAACAGTGAAATAAACATTTAGATTTAAAATAAACTTTCAATTTCATGGTAGTCTTGTAATTTAAAGGATATTGTAGTTTTTTTGTTCTAAACTTAGTTGTCAGCAAGATAGCATGTGAGGACCAGCAAAATGTCCCCCTTTACAACAATCAGTCCTCAATGTGATGGTGAAGTCAGAAAAATGGTCCTCAGGCTGGTGCAGAGACGGGAGAACACAATCATATACACATTTGTCTTATATATATAAACGTTTGTCTCAATGTATTTTTGTATGTATAGGATCTTTTACAATAGTATTTTTTTTATCTTAACACTAACCAAACCACTAGCATTGTTTATGTTTTTTTGTTGAGTTGTTAGCTCACAGATTAATGTTCTTATTGATTAAAGTGGAACAGCGTTTTTTTTACATTGGGCCCTTGATTTTACGTTATTACATCATGGTCTACCCATATGAGTTTTGTGTCATTTGGAGCCGTTCTGAAGATATTCTGTTAGGTTATATCCAAGTAACGTCTTCCTATGGGCAACGAATTGAAGGCACAAACTAAACTATTCATAACTTATCATTTATGGTACGCCAGTATTCATAACATGTGGGCGAATCACTGTCCCCCAGACAGCCGCGGTTATATTTTTTATATTTATCTCTTTTAAAAACAAAGCGGAGTGTCTATGACGTCATCCGCGCGCACTGGCTACATTCATTCTTCTTGTCCGCTGAACTGCTGCTAGTTTTACTCACATGCCTGGAAGATGTCTAGTGCTGCTACCACAGATGATATTGCTCTGGAAATGGAATTGAAAGATTCAGATTAGCTAGCTGAATGAATATAAGGGGAAGAGCGTAGCCGCCTGTGGCCCGGACTGCCTGTCACAACTCCAGTCCGACGCGCGGATGACGTCATACACGTACCGCTTTGTTTTTAAAAGATATAAATATAAAAAATATAACCGCGGATCTCTGGGGGAAAGTGATTAGCCTACATGTTATGAATGCTGGCGTACCATAAAGAATAAATTATGAACAGTTTAGTTTGTGCCTTCAAGTCGACTGCCCATAGGAAGACGTTACTTGGATATAACCTAACAGAATATCTTCAGAAGAACTCCAAATGACACAAAACTCATATGCGTGAGTAGAGCATGATGTAATAAAGTCAAATCAAGGGCCCAATATAAAAAAAAAAACAGCGTTCCCCTTTTCACTAACTCCTGTTCTTCTTTTCCAGATGAGGTCATCTGTTCCTTGGACCGGCGCCTCTGTGTCTGTTGGACGTCAGTAGATGGGCGCTGACATGGAGGTTCCTTCCTGTTTGAAGCTAGTTTTCCTCTCTACTGTGACCACTTCATTGCTCAGGAGGGACTGCTGCAAAATTAACGACTGGATGTGATTGGCTGAGCTTCCTTGGATTGAAGACATTTCTCTAAACACCATAATAAGCTGAATTTATCTTCCCCATGTTGTAAATAGGATTGGACTGGACTGGATGTTTGTTTTTCAATTTGATTCTGTTTGTGTTGAATTCTGTTACATGTTTCTGTATTAAAGCTGTCATGTTAATTGCCTTTAGATGACATTTGTTGGGACTTGTTTCTATTTCATAAGACTGTATTATAATAAATCCCCCTTCTGGGTCTGGTTCTGTTGAAGTATGTTTCCTGTCGTTCTATCTTCTCCTGTTTTTTCTCACTATAATAAAGGTTTGATTCAAGTCATGTGAACAGGATCTTTTTGTCTTTTTTTGTAAATTGTCTTGAAATAAGTGGTTGTAAATTTGTAAATGTTTTAAAACTGAAGTCAACTTGAGAAAGTATTCTAATATTACTATAGTACAGCGCTTTGGCAGATTGGTGGTTATTATTGTGTCTCTTTTGGGGGGTCTGACCTGACAGCTCATGTTAACAGAACAATTGTTCTTGTCACCTTGCAGTGTCAAAACAAATTAGCTCTAAAAAAGGAAAGTGAGACGTTCCTCCTACAGTTCTTCTGATTTTATTGACCTTATAGACAATCTGGGAGTTAAGCAGCAGAGCAGACAGTAAACATCAACACTGAGCCATACAAAGAAAAAAAAAACAAATATGGGAGGATAATTAAAGATGAATGTTAAAATAAAACTAGAGGAAGATAGTAGGCATGTTTAGTGAACCCAAAGGCAAACAGCTTTGCTTAATTTAAACAAAACTTTGTCCAAAGCTGATTTTTATCTTCTTTAAAAACGCGTCAAACGTGTGCGCCTCAAATGTGAAACAATATGAATACACATTGTGGATTAACCGATCTATCTATCTAGAGATTAGCATGACATTCCCCAAATGTGAGAAACTCGGGGCAGATATTATTGATAGTTTATTCATTTTATTAAGGCATTAGTTGTTGCCATGTGGCCAGGTTGTTCAGATACATTCTCAAATCAGAGTTGTAGTTTCTTTGTGGTAATAGATTCAACATTAAACCTTTTACAGTTTGAGGAGAATCAAGGCTCTCCTGTTTTCTTTTTGGTTTGTTTTTGAATAATAAATAATAATCAAGATAGCTCTTTATTTTTGTGCTGTTTTTATGCTGAAGTTCTTTACAAGTGGTGTAGAATTGGTAGCAGGTGGTTCTACGCATCAATAGATCAGGTTGTTTCTGAAAGTTACAAAGTTCTTTAAAAAGACTGAAAATTACACAGAAAAATACTGATATTACAACAATTTGCTTGTATTTTTTAATACTAATACTTACTGAATCCTCACTTGAATATTTTAAAAATTCAATACTTGACTGACTAACTTTTAATTATATATATGTATATATATGTATGTATGTATATATATGTATGTATGTATATATATGTATGTATGTACACAGCTTTGTGTTGTTATTAAAGCCTCTTACCTTGAGCAGATATCAGTTGATGGCGGGTGTGGCAGACATCAACGTGCGTATGGCGCAAATGCCTTCGGCGGAAGTGTACGTGTTTAAAACTACAGAATTCCCATTAGTAGAATTTATTAATTTTTCGACATTGTTGACTTTACTGATAAAATAGTATCAAATTCTACTCAGTGATTTCAGCTGATATTATTCAAACAAAAATGAGTAAAATGCAACTGTTTAATACTTCAAATTTAATTCAAACATCATAACAATATACCAAACTGCAGACAGACAATTTTTTTATGTAACGGTTACCGTACTAGTATTTATTCTGTAAATATTAATTTAGCTTAGTCCCACTTTTTTGAGTGTACTCTATCCATTGTGAATGAAATAAGTTTGTTTTACACACACACACACACTTTTTTGTACTGAAAGCTTAATGGTTAAATTTTATTTTCAATCTGCTGAGTCTGCAGCAGATTTGTCTCTAAAAACAAAAAATAAAACATAAATTTTTTAGAAAACATGACTCGAAGATTTTTTAAGGGAAAAGTTGTATTGCTGTTATTATTTGCATAACAATATTTAGTAGAGTTTACATGCAGAGTGTTAGAAAAGTCTTCAACAGTGGAGCAGCTATAACCAGTAACCAGACAGTAAGGATAAAGTTTTAATTACATTAATAAGCTAAACTGTTTGTGTTGGCTCCGCAAAACTGAAACCTTTTGTTTCTGATGATGTTTTCTACTTTAGAGAAAGATTCCTGTGTCTAAAAAAGGCAATGCAAGGCAAATTTATTTGTATAGCACAATTCAGTACAAAGACAATGCAAAGTGCTTTACAGGATTAAAATATAGGAAAATTAAACAGAATCAAAACAAGTAGGAAAAAATAAAAAATGCAGAAACAAAAAAGAATATTAAAAACAGTTGGACTAAAGAAAATAAAAAAGTTGAACTAATGATGTTTCAGTTGAACTGTTTAACTAGAACAGTCAAAGGCAATCCTAAAGAAATGTGTGTAAAAAAAATTCACAAGTGATCTTATCTAAATATAAGGAACAAAGCAATATCATCCGCCATTGCATTCCTAATTGAGAACATGCTGATATGATTATTAATTTTTTTTTTCTCTCTCTTTCTCATATCTGCAATATTGCTTGGAGACTCACTTTTGTTTCTTTTTAGGCTGATCAGGCTGAGTAGGCTTAAACAAATCCATTCTTCTTACTACTGTAAACTAAATGTTCTTCAGAAACTTGTTTGAATAGAAAAGGTTGGAAAATTCATGGAGAAGAGAGATGTGTTTTAAGACAATCAGATCCTTATCCTTCCAACACCTGTACAAGTCTAGAGCCAAAAACAAAACGCCACACTTCCTGATCAGAGGCTGGTTAAACTGGACTTCTGGGAAGCGCCACAGAGAAAGAATACAGTTTATTTCCACAGGCTGTCTCTCTGTTGAACTCAATAAACACCTCACTCTACTGGAACAATCATGGTGTTTGCAATATTACATCCTGACATTTTATTTATTCAGTTTTTAAAAAATGCATACTTGCACATATTTTTATTATTCTGTTTATCATCCAGTCCTCACGCCTTTCCAAAGTGTCTTTTACATAGTTTGATTGTTTGTACTGTTGAATATGAAGTGAGTCATGGAAACCCGAAGTCAGTTTTCCTGTTGGACACAAAGCAAAGAATATTCATGGTTTTCCCCGAGGGAAAGAAAATGAAATGTTACTGCGAATCTGAGGCAAGACTTGGAAACTTCTGTTTCTGACTTTCTTCATTCAATCCGACTGAACATAAGGTTTTTAGAAAAAAATACATTCATACTCTGCTAGTTTTACCAGCTCTAATCATCTAATTCTTCCTTTCTTTCAGCCTGTTTATTAAATCCACCCAACTTTAATGCCATTAAAAAGATTTTTCTTATGTTACTCATCGGAAACCAGAGTTATGATACTGCACTCTAGACCTGGTTTCTTTTGTTTGACAGAGCCGTACCGTGACATAACACAGACCCTGAAACCTTTTATTTAACTAAAACAAAAAACCCTGTATCTCTCAGACCACCCAGAGGCCAGCTAGCTGCTAATCTAAATATTAGGAATCTGAAGCATCCACATTTGTACCTGTTGCTTCATAACTCCTCTGTTGCAGAACACAAAATCATTAAAAACTATACAGACAGAAAAAACCTAAGATATAGTTGTTTTTTTTTAACACCTTCAACATAAGACACACCCAAATCTAAATGTGTGATGTTTAGTCTCATGTTTGAATGATCCTGATACATTGGGATCACATAGTTAACTTGTCCAATATTTTATTTTGGATAAAAGTCATGTTCTAAACTTGAACCCAAACTGCTGGATTTGTTTAAGTCCAACTGAGATTGAAGAATCCTGCCCTTAATATATAAAAGGTATCAAAATGCTGACACAAAATTTCCTAAACCTCTAAGTTTGTAAAAGATCTGTGCTCATATGTGATGCCACGAGCATATGTAGAGTGATTTCCAGAGGTGTCAAGTACTCACTGTGCTTAAGTACACTTTTTAGGTATCTATACTTTACTCCATCTATCTTTCTTCCTACTTCTGACTTCTACTCATTACATTTTCACACAAGTATCTGTACTTTCCATTCCTTACATTTTTTAAAACAACCGTTACTTGTTACTTTTGGCTTCAGTTTAATGTTTATAAATATTTATTTCCCGTCATTTGCGCCCTCCAATGTAGATCATTGGCGCCATCCACATCTAGTGAAAACCATTGTGGTTGGATGAGTCGTATAACGCAAACATTCATTGGTTAGCCAAAGGAAATCATCAGAAGCAAGCAGGTGTTCTTCAAACTGCAAACGTGAATTGTCTATGCCATGCTACAGTGTGGGATTCAGAAAAAGATGTTGAAATGTCTGAAAGGTCGGACACAGGCGAGAGCGTATCGAGAGATGGAGACCAACAAGACCTTCCTCATCCTTGGCTCTATCTCAGACAATTTTCCAAAATAGTCGAAAAATTGAGCTTTCAATTCATATAGTGACATCTGGCTGTTTTATTAAAGGATACTTTATACTTTTACACTTTAAGTAGTTTTTGGAGCACATACTTTTTCACTTTTATTTGACTAAAGAACTCAAGTTGATACTTCAACTTTTACCAGAGTGTTTTTAAACTGCAGTATCTATACTTCTACTTAAGTAACAAATGTGTGCACTTTTGACAATACTGGTGATTCTGTTCTAATGTTATGTTTATCATGAAAAATATATAAGATATGATTCAGCTTTTCCAGAAAGTTTTGATCTTTATTTAAGATTTATTGAAAACAATTTATTATTCTGCTATTATGCTCAGAGTTAAACTTTTTTTTTTAAATGAAGATATAGGAAAAACTTTCTACACCATGGCAGGTTTTAAATTGTCTTTAATTTGATCAGGTCCTTCTTCTTCAATCCACAGTCAAAATTTCACTTTATGCTGCCTTTTTTATATTTAGTAACTCATTTCCTTTCCCATGCCCTTTCATAAAAAAATGTATTTATTCCCCCTAAATTGCCTCCTGTTCTCTACCATAATGAACTTGAGTCCTCAGACACACTGTCCCTGCTGCAGTCGGAGTTTTGCCTTAGGCAGCACATGTTTGGATTAAGCGCATATGTGTGGTTACTGTCTCTGAGGACAGACTAACCATCAAACTACAGGCTTCTACT